TGAACCGCTACTTTTACGGTGAGATGTGAGGCTTATGTAAGCTTACATTTAAATGTCTATTTTCCATAACCGCCTGCATTTTACCACCGGATCTTATGTGTGCAGAAGAGCGCCGCTATCTGCGCCGATAATTATCCAGAAAACTCGCGCTTGCGTGGGTGTGTGGCAGAGTCTGCATGGTGATGTGGGCTACACGGAAAGTGGTAAATCACATGTACTGTACATGCAAAAAAATAATGATCATGTAAATTTAATGTCATAGTACTTCCAACAAAGAGAGAATTTTAGGCTTCGTGAGTGGGTAAAAGCGATAGTGGGGAAAAGGTAATGAATGGGTTCTTGAAACAATATTACCCAGTGGAAATTTTTAAATATACTCTCTTACTTCACGTACTGTGCACTAAAAGGAACAAGATAACACACAAATTCGACTGCCCTCTGTTTACAAGCCTTAGCTGACTGCTCGGTCATACATTGCATCAGTTACGTAATGTAACCTGAGCCACAAACACAGGCCAGCCTGCTGATGAGAAGGGATGGGTTACATAGCCACCCATCTCCCAAAGCTGAGCTCTTTTAAAAAAGGGTACAGTTTAAATCCTATTTTAAGCATGAAATTCATATAGATATGCTTGCTTTTTGTAAAGCCGTTTGTCACAATCCACCGCTGATGAAGGCGTTTCCAATGCCCGTTGTCGGTAATGGGGATTGATGTTTGACCATACTTCACCACGCTGGTCAGTGAGGGCTAGTTAAGTCGGGGGAGCTCATGGTGGATTCTTATACCACATGGCAGAGTATCGAACTAAGGTTGCCAGGCTCATAGCGCGGTGCACCAACCTCTGTGCCACCCTTGCTCGAATTCGGTAAAATAAATAAAACCTCAATACTGTATTTCAAGAGCCGCAATGCAATGTGGTGAATCCGAGACGGTCCCGAATAAATAAGGTCACGGAGAAGTGTGATCCCTGTGACTTCGTCTTTTGTATTACAATTTACTGCACAATACTGTAAATCAATTTCGGAATGTCGCCGTGTGGTGTAACGGTTCTCAAACTGGACGTCATATGCCGGTGGTTGCTGGTTTTATCTCTTTACAAAACACAAAACAGCGGATAGGTTAATTAATCCCCCTACCTCTGTCCAATCAGCGGCAGTGCACGTGGGTACACCAAAGTTAGTGGAGCGACAGGTCGCATATGGTGGGGTGGAGTGTGGGTCCTCCCACGTGTTTCAAGACGTCTAGGTCAGTGTGGCACAGAGTAGGACAACATATCCTCCAGCGGGGGCGCTGTAGAGGGCCTTTACGAGAGGGGGAGCTCTCAAAGAACTCTCTTGTGTATATGTATGTTGAACTTCTTTCGCACCGTACGTAGCCGACCGTGCTAGTCGGAGGTGCGGGGGAAAGACAATAAGCTAAGCACACAAAAGCAGTTTTCAATCTTGAACTCCCTCTAGTCAAGTGCCTACCGACAGCAGTGGCGTGGGTAACAACTTTGAGGGCTACACCTTTACCTGTTACGGTCTTAAGTTAAACACAATTTACAATATATTTATATCGTATGCAAAGTATATGCAAATTAATTCACTTCTATTTTACAAAGCAAAAATTGTGTGTACTTGGCGCACTTTAAATCAGCTCGTGCGTCAACTGCGGGTTCATGATGTCGTGGCCAAGTCTGAACTTTGTGCATTATAAAGTAGCTTAACAAATACAGTTCACCTTGCAAATAGCTTCAGCCTTCAAGAAAGTGTGGCCCATGGAAAAATCTCATTAAACTCCGTGTCGCAATCGGTTTGCCAAACGATGTTCATCAGCCATGACCAATCTACTGCTGGATTAATTAAGGCCTCTCCAAGCCACTTGACATCTCTCATGGACCTGCGATGTTAGTGATCCACCTAGCACCTGCCTGCACAAGAACTGATTTAATCGCTCCACGGTAGATGGCCTCTCAAAAATGTAGTTTGACAAATATTTCACATCGTGTAGGTATAATTATATTCTAATTCGGATTCATACAGCACCTTTTTTTCAAGGCGCTTTACAGTGCAATGTTTAACTTAGAATCTAAGTTTATGATCTAAGTTAAACTCAAAATCTAAGTTAAACACGATCTAACCCAAAATAAGCTAATTGTCTATCAAATTAGTCGTGAAAGCCTATCCATAAAATATGTGGTTTACAATATTCCACAGCTAACGATTTTATTCTCTCACAAACTCCAGAAAAAATTATGCCAGAATTCCTCCTCGAGTATTTGGGTAATTTGTAAATAGACGTGTTCTGGTAAACATCATTTAAATGTAAATGTGCTAAATAAATTACGCTTTTGCAGTCATTATACATATCCTATTGCATGAACAGTAATACAGAACCCTTTGAAATGTTGACGGGTATACCACTGTGTAATCAACAAACAATATCTCCTTCACTTATCTGTCTCGTCACATACAAAAAAATAATGTCATACAAAACACATCAGCAGCACGACCTTCTTCTGGGAGTGCATAATTTCAGCAAGCATTGTTAACAGATTCGACACTCAAGAGTCTACTCAGTAACCAGTCAGGTTTACTTTAATCAATGCTGGTAGAACTGCTGCTCATCGTACAGGCAAGTTACCCCTCCCCCTTTACTCGATGTTGCTCCTAATTACGATGCGAAATTATACATGACCCAAAGTAATCATTAGAAAATATATTCTCGTCAACGATACTGATGATTACCATCATCACCATCATTGTTTCACGAGTTAAATTTTAGAAAACATCGAGGTTGTTATTTAACGCATGGCATAGGGCAGTTCACTCTGCCACTGCACCAGCAAGTGTCTTTTGTTGTTCTGATCAGCGGCTTAGCACAATGGCATTTTTGTGTTTCAAGAGGCTGCGTGCCGGTGCTTAACATATCCGGGTTCGATTCCTGGTGAAGTCGGGTGGGTGGCACTCTCTCCCTCTGGCAAGTTTATAATCCTCCCGCATTGTACCTTTTGTTCGCATTGTGTCGTCGGGCTATTTTGCGATTGGGTGGTGCCCCGCATATTGGTGGGGCGAAGCGTGGGTAACAGCCGCCAGGCCCGCTCGCACCCACCCCTCGCTCAACACGTCTGGCCAGTCTCCAAAAAAAATAAAGGGCTAAATAAAGAAACGCGACTCCCGTTGTCCACACACAGCGGGGGGTTGAGAGCATTGTCCTCGCCTTCGGTGGCGTGGCGGCGGTTGCCGTTCTGCAAGTGCGGCGAATTCATTCGAGTGGAGGTCACCCGCTTCGGCGAATCTCCCAACGATGATCCTCTTCACGACGGGTGAGCCGAGTGAGGGTTGTGTTGTCGTGAGAGCAACCACTTCCCAACATCTTACGGGAGGGAGTTGCGCGAAAGTGATGCGTTTGTCGAGACTGGCGGTGAGAACCGTAGAGGCTTCGAACACCAATTGCGACGTTGTTCTCCACCGTCGTCGCCTTGGTTCGAGTGTGGTGTCTTATATACGCCAATGACTCTGTAAACCACCTCCCCCCCCACCCCGTTTGTGAAGGGCGAGGTCAAATAACAGCGCCGTGGTTTCGTTTCCACGATGCGTCCACGCCGTGTCCCTGGCTTGCTGGAGGGAGAGTTAAAGTGGCGTTAGCTCGCCACCGTGGAGCTCGCCTGTGAACAGGGCAACCCACAAAGGGCTCTGCCCGGATTTTTCGGGACGCTTTGGAAAGGACAGAGACGACGGGCAAAAGCACATGCAGAGCAGAACACACGAATAAGTGAGTTTTTTCGGATAAGAGCTTCCACAAGGTGTGGGTGGCAATGTTTTGAGTTTTCGTGACCGCAATGGTTTATTCTCCCAGGGCACCGTTGTGCAGTCGACGTGAGAGAGAGAGAGTCAACAATCAAATGAACAAACACCAATTACGCTCCATCAATGGTTATCGGATGGGAGTGGCGCTAGCAATAATAATAGTTTACCTAATCTCATTCAAATTAAATAACTCTTTATTTAATAATCTCGTTTAATCGTATTGGGGTTTTTTTTAACCCACACTTGTATTTAATAAGTCAAGTTGCTGCCCCACCACCACACACACAAACCCGATGAACAACAACGCTTCGCACACACACACAAGCCCCATGCAATGCGGTAATGCAGAATTAATTGTACGAGGCATTTGGCACAGAAGCAGCCGCATGGAGGTGAAGTTATAAATAAGCGTGGCTCTCTCCTCGTGCAGCAACTACCGCACGAAGCAGAATTAAGTTGGTGGCAGCGTGCGTGTGAGAGAGACGGAGAGATTAAAGGTGAGTTTGTCGCACGCTTTGCCACGTTAGTTTAGGAGTGCGAGTTGCATCCAAACATTTCACTCGCAATCGCCCCCAGCCACCTGCGCTGGCCATTGAAGTAGAAACAAAACGGGTACCACCATCACCACGACACTTTACAGTTTACACACTCGCCCCCCCCCCCCCGTGCGTTTATGAGATTACAACATCACGAATGCGTCTGTTTTGCGCGCACTAATATATAGTACCTCGTGGTCGCTAGTGTGTGGGGGGGGGGGTGCGCCTTAAAACATCGCATGAATCATCTGTGCGTGGCCAAAGGTTACGGCTTACGGGAGGAGCAAATGTGCGAGACCGTTTGATAACTCGAGGTCGCCCTGGCCGCGGTGATATATATGTGTGCAGCCCTGTGTATATAAGTGAAGTGTGTGTGTGTATAACGGAGAGGGTATAGGACGACGTGGGTTGTTGTGGTCGATAGATATTCCACGTGGAACGCGTCCGTCCGTCCCCCGGTTGGCGAGGCCACCACCACCACCAAAGTTGACGACTACAATAGGTGCCTCGCAGGGCTGTGGGTCATTGTTGTTGGTGTACTGATGAGTCCCCAAACGAGCATCCCACGTCCTTGTGGGAGTTCCGGCGAGCACGTGTCCACGGGTTCCTCCTCCAACGGGTCCGCCGCAGGTAACGATCGTCCTGTTGTTGTGCGAAACTTTTTGTGAGTTTTGTTTGTTGCGAAGGCGACAATCGCTTGCGGATTTATTTTCCTTCTCTCTTCTTCCATTGGAGTGATTGATTTGTGCATGCTGTATCGGTGCTTTATTTTTCTTACGCTTTTTGGTGCTTCTCATTGTGTTGTTCACTATTTTTTAAAGTGGTGACGTTGATTAACTTGCACCGGGACAAGCCTCGCAGCATCTCGAGACATTTTTGCGTGACGGTCTTTCATTGGATTCTATTTTGTTTTTATTTTTACACGAATTCAGTGATTGTGAGCTTAACGTGGAAGGAACTCGATCAACTGGGGGACACTCAACTCGCGTGAAGGGCCAACATTGTTGACACTTCTACAGAGCCTTGCCAAGATTTTCGGTGGTCGTCCAATTCCAGTGGCTCTCTCTGCGCGACGTGGCATCTGAGATGTGTGATGAGTTCTTGGCGCGTTCCATTGTGTTGGGTGATTTTAGTCGCGGTGTTGAAGTGGCCGATGTGGATAGGAAATGTCGACCGTAGGTCGCTTTCTTTCTTCACCACGATTCCAATGAAGGACAGGGCAGAGGATAACGAGTGTACACACGTACCCAGTTGATGAGATCATGGGATTATTATATAAATGTCATATGCGTGGATATAGAGATAGGCATACACTTGCCTTGATTATATTATCTGGGAAACTTGTTAATTTTTCCATTACTGCAGAAGTGGTCTGTAAGACATACACGTTTTCATTAGTATAGCCTGTGCAAACATCTAAATACATGTGGATATGCAGTTTTCATTGTATGGATACCCCAGATATAGAGTACAGTATTGTCTTTGCAAAAATGACAATTTAATATAATATATATCAAATACCACGGCTTGTGCAACCCGAACTCAAAGGAAGTAAAAATAATTATTCAAATATATGCTCCAACATGCATCTATTAAGATGACGTAGGAACACATTTATAAATACATTCTGAGTTCTCAGGGTAAAATGCATTTTGCGTGTCGCATAATATCCTTTGTGGAACGATGCTTAAAATCGTTATTCTTAAAAAATGGTAATGAACACTTGACAAAAGTGTGTACAGACTCATTAGCTACTTATCACGTGTATGTAAATTGCTCATCAAGATCATTCCATTGGAACAGAATAATGGTCGGCTTATACGCCAACGAAACGCATGGACATAGGCAGCGATTCCATTTGGGTATTGGTGAAGAACTCGACCTACTGGAGGCTCACGTGTTAAGTTTGCACATAATCATCAACTTTGAACAACAGGATAACACATTTTAACAAATGGATAATGTGACGACGGTACGCACCGCATATAAACGCATTGCAACGGGCATATAGTCCGTGTTAAAAAGGGGCTTAAAATCATTCAATATTGCGCAGCCGTGAGAATGTACACACGAGGAAACAAGCCGTTGGCACATGGCTGGAACCGTTGGAACCAACGTTGGCCAGACGTTCCGTGGTTTACCGAAATGAACCGATGCTGGTGTCCATGTAAGCATGTACGGTTTGTGACTTTAAACAAAAAAAAGTTTATGGTTGCACAGTCCTGTACATTGTAGATGTATTCAAATGATACGCATGTTTATCTAACTAACTGTAACGAAACGTAACTATGAAAGCGTATACAGTAGAGTTATCGTAGGGGAAAAATAGTGTGTAATTAACAGTACCGGAAATTAAATGTGCTTGAATTAAAACGATCAACGGGAGGTAGGAATGGCACAGATTGAAGCAGCTTAGCCCAACGTTTGATTTATAAAACCGAAAACCAATGAGAAGCGTGCCTTTTAATCCAATTAAATAAGTTAATGTTATTATAAACGGCCAACGTGACCTCAAGGGACTTGAAAGTGATGAAAAAGGGCAATTGTATATTTTTTGTGCAATTCGGGCTTCCTATAGCCCGTGGAAACTTGGCTCGGAACGAACACGCCCACCGCGCTTGGTAAGTGGCTTAGTTGAGTGCCCACTTAATTAACGTTTAAGAATGTTAACTTGTTAAACGGAGCGCGTTTTGCTCACGAGTCGCCCACAGTGGCAGAGTTAAGCGGAGCCCCCGATAGGTTATCGTCTCGGCTTCGGTTCCACTCAATGCCGTAACTAATTCATTGCGCAATATTTAACGGTAGCTAGACTGATTAAAAAGAACACACAATTGTGTGTGTGCGCGTCTCCCGTGGTCTCCCTTGACCCCGAAGTTTTATGACCCCCCCCCCGTCGTGTGCGCAAGTTGTCGGAAAAGATTAGATTCTGTACGGTACTCTTGAGCAATGTGTAGATTGTCGGGTCTGTAAGTTTTTACAAGTTTTAGGCCAAGATGCACTTGGTGTTGACCCGCGTTCGAGAGACATTAACAGCAGCAACCAAGCGACTTTTGCAAATATTTAAAAGGAGATTTCTTATGCGTGGGTTTTTTTAAACGTAGACAATTACGTGATTTGCTTTGTGTGACATAATGGGCAATCGTATGGGTGCTGAGCAACAACTAGCAGTGTGCAGTCGTTGATTGTGTGTGTGACCCGTTTGTCTTAACTTATCAGAAAGCTACAATGAAAAGTTGCGTACTGTACTGTGGTTTATTTCCCGTACTTTGCATATCTTTCCACGGGCGGGAATATTTTAAGTAGTGGGGTAAACAACCCACCACTCGGCTCCCGAGTTCCTTCCTAGTGTACACGTTGAGAAATAGGCCGTTGATTTGAAATGTCAATTGTTAATTAATTTTCGTTATTACCCTATGTCTCGTCGACAAAATCGGTTAAATATTTAACCTCAGATATCGGTCAAGAAAATTGTCAACTTTTGTCCACACATTTTAAAGTGCAAGTCTGACGGATCATTTTGTTATTTGCTTGACTAGCTTCTGCAGAATTTCCGTGTGCAATATCCCAATTCCTCCATATCTAAATTTATATGTCCAGTTTATCTTCATAAATGTTTCAATAGAAACCTTGATAAGGATGCAAAGTTGAACCTAGTTATGAGGACGTACCGATGCTAATTAAGGTTATTAAACTATTAGAGGTTGCGTTGTGTTTATGCACAGTTTTTGAACGGATCTGCATATTGATAATTTGGATATAAAAACAATACTTTCACATTTGAACTCTTCCCCGCAATAATAGTAAATAAATAATTACACTGTACTGCACTTGACTTATGTCCCTGGGTCAGTTTGAGGGTTTGTCTGACCCAGGGGTCATCAACCTCTGGAAGGGCTTGGTTCGTCACGGGTGTTTATTAAGGACCCACAGTGCATTGCCGCTCTTGAAACCATTGAGTTTAGTTTTTTTTATAGTACCGAATTGGAAACAAATTGCTCTTCTTGTTTTTTTGGGTTTTACCCTTCACAACTCCTTAACACTTAAACAGCCGCTGTTCGCCACTCGTTGGCGGTGATGTCACCGCGGCGTTTGTGCCAGGCAAAAAGTGCACTTTGAGGACACGCGAAGTGCCATGCTAAACTTTGTATTTCACCAGATAAGGCCCACTGAGCAATACTGTATAGCTCTTTTGCAAATGCGACCCGGCCACAAATGATAGCCCAACGAAGGGGCTCATTACGTGGAAATGTATAGCAGCCAAATACTCTAAACGCACGTTGATTGGTGCAGGTCAAGGGGCAGACCCAGGTGCCATGGGTTGACTGAGATCACTGGCAGATGCACCACCACCTGTGCTCATTACTGAGCCAACTTGCTGAATTTTATCTTCCGGGCACTCTGCTCATTGTGAGTGTCGCTCCTCCGTTGATGTTGGAGGGCATCTGCCTCGAAACTGTCCGGTAGGTTCCTAGGCGAGCCCCCTACTACACCCCAACACCCCTCCCCTCCTAATCCACCACTCCTCCCCTCCATCACTCTTCCGCCCACCACCCCTTAACTCCACATCTACCACTACTCCCCACCACCCCTTCCCTCCACCACACCCACCACTTCTCCCATTCTCCACCACTAGCCATATCACAGTGACAAAATCAACTCTCAACACCTGCGTCAAATAACACTCGAACAATGAAAAATGTATAATGAGCGACCTTAGGGCCGATGGCTCTGCTTTATAGCACATACATGAACGAAAAAACCCCACGTCTTTAAATTAATTATTTAAAAACAATCAAAGCAATCTTTCCTCTGCATTCTCCCGGCAGTTCTGCTCGGCAGCATCTACAGCATTAGCCTCGTGTACGGATCGCGGTCTGTCCGTCAGTAACGCGTTTTCCATCCAGCGGGAGATTACAGGAGAAGACGCGGTCCTGCATTAATCCACGAATCGCAGGTTTTGCTCACGACTGTAAAGTGAATAGGTTCGTTGCTGCTATGATGAAGGGGGGAAAAGCGGTGGTAATATTTAAATACGTCCTGCTGTACATGTGTCCGTTTTATTTTGCGAAACGCCCCACTTGTTGAACACGCACCTTTTGCAAAGATCTTCGCCTATCAATTTAATCACTGCTTATTTAGTTGCAACGCTAAAAAATGGCAAGAGTACAATAATTTCTTATTGCTGTAGAAATACTTATTGCATCGTTTTCTCAGTAAAACAAATTGCAGTTATGAGTAGATTCTGTGTTGGGCTCCATTATTTAAACATCGTACACAGTATTAATTGTTATGTACGAGCAGTGTATTTTTCAAATATGTTTTGATGCATCCGAGTACACAGATTCCCATGGCAAGCATTCGGGCCCTGTCTCGATGTCTCCCTGCGGTATATGGAATGATACATTGTACGCTTGTGTTGATTTGGTACCCGTGAAAATGTATTTGTTGCTCACTGCAAGAACTGCCGTTTGAAAATATTTACTTAAAAGGTTTACAGATGTCTCATTGTTAACACGTCTAGATAACGAATGCAACCTAAGCTTTCATCGTATAAAGAGTCATCTTAAGTTTACTTGGCTTTGTTTAAATGTACTGCTGGATGAAGGACTGCAGACATCATTTGTGGGGGTTGTTTGACCATTCCTCACCATACAAGTCAATGCGCTTCGGTTAAAGAGAGGCTGAGTGGAGGTATAGGATCTGTCATCAATAGCCAGGAATTGAACTCCTCTTACTTGGCTCATAGCGCACCACTACACCACCAATTCCCCCAACAGGAAACACTGAAGCTGTTATAACCACATCGACCGTACGTTTTCATGTGTACAGTGCCGCAGCGTATATTCCGCGCACAGATTCCACGAATGGGAATGGGTAGAGAAAAGCCTGCGTGAATACGTAGAAGCGCGCGCACAAATAATAAGCCGCCGGTGTTGTTTCCGTTCGCACCGTAGACACTGTAGAAATGGAGCTGGAAAACGAGTTCATGGGGCCGTGCATCCCTGAGGAGGAGCCGGAGAGGAAAGAGGTCGCCCGGCGTACTGGCGGCGGTCGGCCCAGCATCAGCATCACCGTCGGCGGTGCTCGTCCGAGCATCAGTTTCACCGTCCTGTGTCCGAACCCGCTCGACCTCAGCCAGTCGTCCGGTCAGTACTTAACCATGCTTCGAGCAATTTGTACCCGCGTTCAGCCGGCACTCAGTTTGTATAGTTTTTTTTTATTGTTTGTTGTTGTATTGTTCTCACCTACGCCCCTGCTGGACATCTGTGGAAAAAGAGCTTCAGAGCTCATCGGATTTCTCCAGGATAAATAAAGATTATGATTTTTTTAAACTTTAATTCTCCCCGTGACATATTACAATCATAGATAGTATATATATAAAACATCCTATTATAATGGAAGTTTCACATTTTATGTTGAGTATTAATGTGATGATGGCACTTGCTGTGGCAGACTTGTGCCAGAAGTGTTCACATTCGTGGCGCCAATTTTTTTTTTTACCTGACTGCAAATGCTGCCGTGATGTAATGGTTGGCACTCTGGACTTGCACTGTGCAGGTCGCCTATTCGTTTTTCTTGGCCCGACGGTTCAAACGGTGGAGCATTTTCCTGCCCCCACGTCATTCAGTCGAGTTCTTCCCTGGAATCTGATGATTTGGTCAATTGTGATAAATTCTTGAGTCATGCAAGCCAGCAGTTGGAATTCTCCTCCTGGCCGGTTTACCATGTTTGCGCCTGCATTCAGGCAAAATACAAAAGGACAATCTAGCAAGTGTGCACATATATGCAATGTCGTTTTATGGCATTATAATGTGATACTATATATTCTTTGTGTGTATTTATAGAATCCGAAGATGTATCTCTCCTGTGCACTTCCAGAAAGGTACTGTACCTTCTCATGCGCATAACTGGTATGAGTAGTGGTTGCAATATATAGAATAGTACTCCAGTTAAATCAATCCAAATGTCAGCTCATTTTTTTGATTTAAAGCTTTTGTGACTGCAGGGATTCATATTCTGGGTTCTTTCGGTAAAGTCAAGTAGAAGGGAAACAATAAAATAATAAAAATATAAAACAATAAAATTATTATTATTTTATTGTTTCCCTTCTACGTGACTTTACCGAAAGAGCCAAGAATATCAGCTCATTTATAAACACCAATTTTTGGGCATTGGTCGCTGTGTTGTGCCTGTGACCCCAGGGTTGGCGGATCACACAAATGATGTGAAAATCAAAATGGGACCTTTTTTTCCCAGTATCAAAGTATGAAAAAATAAGAATAGGTTTTACCCTTTCTGGCAATAAATTAGTTGTTAAGATGTTTCCACTGATGACACTAGGCCCCAAGTAATGCTGTCTCTGGTGTAGACCAATCCGTTTCAAGGACAATCCATATATTACTCTTTGGTTCTTTCAGTAAAGTCACGTAGGTATAAAATAAAATAAATTGCGACGTTCCGGGCGCAACACAAGCGTCCGTCATCAGGTGGGGAAAGCATTGTGCTGCACCCGAAACGTCGCGATTTATTTTATTTTATAACTACGTGACTTTACCGAAAGAACCAAAGAGTGGATTTCTGCAGTCACAAAAGCTTCAAATCAAAATCCATATATTATCAGAGCATGTTTTGTTTGCATGCTCACCACAAGTACTGTGTGTGGTTAATGCTATTACTTGATGCCTTGCAAAAGGTTTCTATTTGGTGTTTGAACATCTTAACACCACCTGCTTTGATGTGAAAATCCCTTCCCGCGAGCGTCGAGACTCCGTACCCCTAGCTCACCAGCAGATTGCGGTACGGATATACGTGGGGCTCCGCCTGTTCGGTCTGTATGGGATAGAGTGTTTCCCCCTCGCGCGCGTGTGTGGGTATTCTCCAGGTCCTCCGGTTTCCTCCCACATCTAAACACCTTCATATATTGAGGACCGCATAACTTGGGCAATTGTTGGCACCGGCTCGTTGCGCCGCTGCCTTCCCGCTCGCCTGTGTTTCTCTGCGCCTCCTTTGAGTCTTCTCTCTCCTCTAGATGGAGCGAATACCGTGTGCATTACAAGTTGCTTCGGTCTATAAATGAAATGAATTGTCTCCTAGGTCATCGTGCATAACCTATATTATGAATATACCATGCATGCAAAACACAACGCTTCTTCCGTTTTGTAAGTACTGCATAAAGACATTGGTTTGCCTTGAATCCAGAAGTGTTTTCTCATGTGAAACACATTGTAGGTGCAGCTAACAGTCTGCACAACAGCAGGCCTTTACATTACATGATTTAATGACCTAATGTGTGAAGTATACGTGTTTTTTGTTTAGTTTGTTTTCCCTCCCCGCACCTCCGACTAGCACGGCTCGCTACGTACCGTGCAAAAGAAGTTCGACATCCATCCATACATGTTCAGTATCTGTTATATAATTTGCCCATGATTTCCATGAAGTAATTGTCGGCAATAATCGAGACCATAATGCAATAAGGGGTACCTCAGTGTAATGGTACCCATTACAGAGAAAATGAAGTGTCATATGAGATGGTTTTACATGTGGGGAGGAGAAATGCAGATTCACATTTGCAAGAGAGTGCAGAAAATGCAGTTAAAAGATAGGAGGGCAATCGGGAAGCACTAGGAAAAGGTGGATAAATGTGGAGTAGGATATCCGGAAATGTGGCGTGGACCTGGAATTGGCGCGGAACGGAGAGCAATTAGCACCAAACAAATTGAAATTGCACACTAAAAATAATAAGCAATACGTTCTGTGGAGCGCACCAGAAATCTAGCAACTCTACTTGCGTGGTGTGCTCTATCTAATCCTCGCGACCAAAATGCTTGTGGTCCGCAGAGCGTGAAAATCAAAAACTTTTCGGAAGAAGTCCGCGCAGGTCGGGACGTCGACCGCTTTCTCAGCCAGGCGGCCGTGCTGCTCGATCTTCCGTCGCGATCGTTGGAGTCGACGCTGTGCCACATGCTGGAGAGCGTGCTGGAAGATAACCCGTGTGCCGAGCCCCGCGAGGCACGCTGCTCCCTCCTCAAGCGAGCGCTCTTCACGGACATGGCCCAGGCTTCTCTTCATGGAACTGGTTGGTGGCTTCTGTTCGTGTTGGAATTGAATGCTGCTGGAAGGAAAATACCCAACTGGCTGCTTGTCAGCCGTGCAATAAATGTACACGTGGTCGAGTTGAAATGGTCCGCTCCTATTTGGTCTACACTTCATCAACGTGCATTGCAATTGGACGCATGTTCTGCATTGCTTTGACGTTGATTTTGCAGCTACAATGTAAATTACATTCAGATTTGACAAATTTTCCAACGTAGTAAAAAAACACACAAAGGAATTCTCAAATTCCCTAGAATTAGCACTCGAAATTGAACTTATAATATTCGGCCCTGTTCCTTAAGTTTGTTTATAAACGGTACGCATCTACAAGAATGTGGCTCTAACGAGAGACGTTTAGGTATTGAACATCACATTGACAATCTGGTTAAAACGTGCAGCTTCAAACTTGGTTACTTGTACAAATGTCCAGGACTTTATTAATCTCACGTTGTTTTTATGCTTTTGCAGAGCTAATGTAGAATAGTGCAGCAAGATATCTGCTCTCTTGCCTAATTTGCTAAATATAATTGCAACATGTATGGCAAGTTTTTTCTAGACTCTATTGGTTTGTTTTTGTCCGTAAGGTTTACGAGACTAATGTCCTCTATTTCTGAACATAATCTGATTTATCCAACTTGCTCCAAAGTTCTCAGCTTAAGGGATATCTCTCCCTCTCTCTCTTGAGACCGCCTTTGTCAAGTTTTTCTTGTGTCCCAGAAGTTGTTTTACCGAGCGCCATCAGATTGTAACTGGTTAGATTCCCAATACGATTGGATCAGTTCTCGTATTTAAATGACCATTGATAAGCATATCATTGAGATATATCCACCCGTAACTTGTGTACGCGCACTTCATTTTACAACAATATTTTACTTTAAAATATAATAACAATATCTGATATGATTATTTCTTTATGTTTGCAATGTCTGAATTTAAACCTTAATTTGGTGCACATTGATCATTGGTTATCTATGCTGATGTTGTAACGTTTACCCGGATAAAATGTATGAATGTCATTTTACCAGCATCCCCTTGTATATTAATCTCAACGTTTTATCTATGAAATTGAATTAAGAAAATATTTTACCATCGATTTTTACCACATGACAATATCTAATTCCCCCACGTTTTTTTATCAAGACCGATTGCATTAATAAGTTCGTAGTAGTACGTTGTACACACGTATGTATGTTGAACTTCTGTTGCACCGTACGTGGCCAACCGTGCTAAACGGAGGTGCGGGGATGCCCATATCTGTACTGTACATACTTAGGTGGTGTTGGTTTCGTTTCGGTGATGCTCAAGAGCAGTGTCAACAGAAGTAGGTCTGACGGTTACCTGACACTCTTGAGAGTTGTGTAATGAGTGAAAAAAATGAGCATGTGAATTCAAGTAGGCTCTGTCTTTTCGATGCGGAGAACGATGGTTAACATGAAAAAATATATATTTCACATTGTGGTGCAATCACCCCAAATGAAGCGTAATGAATACGTAAAAAAAAACTTTCTACTGTAATTGTCATCAACTTGAAATGTGTTGTCGAAAGATAGACAATACTTGTTTTACAAAACATTACGAAGGCTCTTGAAAGATAATCACTGCATTTTTCAGGGTTTATTTTGGGTGTGTCATCTCGATTTAGTATAACGTTTTCAGATTGTATACTTTCGTTTTCATCAATGTGATCCTATACCACGGTTAATGCACTTAATACAGTCCCCAATTAAATTCCTTAGAAACCTATCTTTTTTATGAAAGTACACCGGTTATCTTTTTAATGAGCCATTAAAGCCTTTTTACACATGCAAGTGCAGGGGATCTTTACATTTGGCATATATTTGTCTATAATATGTAAGGAATAATGAGTAAGCACTGCTTGCAGGTTATTTTCATGGCAAAGATTAAAATCAAAATCACCTGTGCAGGTTTTTTTAGTTGTGCTGCATCGCTGCTCTTCGATGTGCTTTCATGTTTTATCGCTTGATGTTCTGCATGATGTCTGACATTCCGCTTAATGTGGTGGAAGCTTCTTCAGCTACTGAAGAACTGCTAATTGGGAGCTTCTTCGAGAAAGGGTGAACTGAAATCTTGTTCTTGAAGAAGCCCCCAGCGCGTGGAGCGAAACGTCTGACGGTTGATCTTCTTTGGTTCTTTCGGTAAAGTCACGTAGAATGAGAATAAAATAATTAATTTATAAAATAAAATAACACAATAATATTCTCACGACGTTTCGGCCACAACACAAGCGGCCTTCATCAGGTGAAGGGACGAGACTGTCTGGTAGGACAGCGCTGGAGTGGTGCACTCCAGCGCGACTTTACCGAAAGAACCAAAGAAGATGAATCATTGCAGTCACGAAAGCTTTAAATCGAAAAAGTCTGACGGTTGGCTACGTACGGTGTGAAAGAAGTTCGACATGCATACGAATGCCGAACAATGCGCGGTACAACCCTGAAACGCATCGGAGGACCAAAATCCAAATGAACGAGTGTTGTGGTGTTAACGTTGTTGATGTGCTGTGTGTGTGGCTATTCCTGCACAGTGCACCTGCTCTCTGAGACAATCCAGGCTGTAACGGTCAACCCATCGGGCCTTCACTACCAGCAGTCGTGGCTCTGCGTGCTGTGAGTGGGGGAGCAGGCACAACACGAGACGCACTGCTTATCACGAGAGAATATATTCGCAGCATCTGCCTCTGTTGGCCATATCTTTAACAGCTCATACCAACCCAGCCCCGCTCCTGATATGCAGCCTCCCGGCCTTCAGCATTTAGCAACCTTGGAGGGATTCGGGGAATTCAAATTCCTCCCTTATCTCCCGATTCGGACACATTTAACCTAAATGCTTCCCTTGACACCTCTTCTGACTTGGAGGAAGCCAATGTTCCCGATGAATGGAAAACTGATTTTGTTTGCCCCCTCTCCGCAAATGGGGGGGGGGGGGGGGGGTTGCCACAGACGATCCAAACAACCATCGTCCCCATTTCACTCCTTTCCCCTCTCATCAACATGTTTTGAGAAGTTATTTACTCACAGTGCAAATCATCCACTACGTCCGATCAAACAATCCGCTGCATCCCAAACAATTTGGCTTTCGCGAGAAATTTCAGCGTGACTTTGGCGGTGTGCTCTACCCTCGACTTTGGCTTCAGCAGTCTTGATGATGAGCATCGTGGGGCCATCATCCCCTTCCTGGACCTCTCGAAGTCTGTTGATGCTGTATTCCACGGCATCCTAACTCGGTAGATTGGCATGCCTCAACTTCTCCAAGCTGGCAGTGATCTTCGGTCTGTTGTTACGTCTATCTAACCATGTTCAGCTTGTTTCTGTGGACAAACATTTCATCTGGTAAAACTGCCGTCGCGTAAAGGGTGTTTCACCTCAAGGTCAACGTCCTGGGACCCCACTTTGTTCTGACTCTGTGTCAATGCCCCAAGCAAATGTCTAATCCACTCGGCTACAAACCTTTGCACGATCATTGCTGCAAACTCCAACAGGGTTTTTGAATCGCTGTCATTAGAGTTGGCCTCCCTTTAGACTTGTCCTCAACGCAAATAAAACGAAGTGAATGTTTTGGAGTCGACGCACATCTGCCCCCTTTCTCCACTTGAAATTGTGTCTCTGGACTCTCAGATAAATTAATTTTTTTGACAATTTCATATATATGGATGTTACCCTTGATTACGAAATCTCTTTCCAGGCTCGTAGAGAACATATTTCTAAGAAAAAAATATATATATTTCTCTACAGAAACAACCGTTTGATATTCCGCTCTGTCTCTGACTGGACATTGTCAAAGGTACCATTCTCTGTGTTTGACTCCTGTGATGTCATCTACAGGCCGGCCTCAGAGACCGTCCTGAAATGCTTGTTCCCCCTGTGCCATCTTAATAATTACTACCGTGCCTGCTTTTCACTCCGGTCCTTGTCACGTTGCCTTGACTTCCTCTCGACTTCTCCTCCTGAGTGTACCCAGAGTGAGTCCGAGCGGACGGTGGGGGGAAAAAAAAAAATCGCGCTGCCGCCCCTCGCTTTCGGAACGAGCTCGCTCCACAGTTTCGGCACCAAGTGCTCCTACCCCGGCCCATTTTAAATTCCTCCCTTGATGTAATACGTCCCTGTTCCTCCACATGTGGTGAGTGAAGGCAACGCGAGGCGGTGTTGCATTTCTGATGTCCCCTGCACACGCGGCTAACGGAGGTTGGCGCGGAATAGTGCTTCGGTGTTGATGTGCATCGCCCACCGTGTTACTTCAGCATCAGAAAACCTATTTAGACTTGAGTGGCGCATAACTTGAATGCGGTTCTCCTCCAGTGTGTTTGCTCCTCGCTGTCTGCATCGTTGTGATGTATTCTCTCCTGTAACTTTCTTTGCTTCTACAAAGGTTCTCCGCAGGTCATTCTTGCGAAACGTCTCGAGGCTGAATGTTTCTTGCCCTTGTAAACAAATGCAAACAAATCAAAATCGAACATAGTATATATGTGCACGGTACTGTTTCTATCATGACATGGCCACGGGCTGCCTGTGCTATGGATGGGGTGATGTGATACACCTGATACCATTCACCAACAATCAACACACCTGGCCCTCGCCAATTTTTGGAGTATATAATATATACACCCCCTTAACGAATGGCGCACACACCTATCCATAAACATGATTTTGAAATGTGGCTGTGGAGCTCACATCGTACACCACGCTGTCGTAAACGATTGAGTGGACAAGCATTTCTATGACTACCAAACTGAATGATCATATTCGTAGTTAAAAAATAAATGTATCAATGTATATTGACACCGTTCACATAAACTGCCTACCACGAACATTCTACGGACACCTCGTTCATTTGAATTTGGTAGAGAGGTCCAGGAGGAGTTCTTTGGACAAAAACACATACCTACAAATGGACAGATTAGCTGCTCGTTATGCATTATAGGCATACTATATACATATACAACATGGTTATTATCCTTGAGTAAGCCTCTTATCCTAGTTCACTGCGTTCTGCTCTTGCCATGCTGCGGTGAATGTCGACATGTCTCTTTTGCGTGCGTGCGTGCGCGCTTTCACGCACACTTTTAACAACGAGGCATTAGTATAATGTGGAGAGCTGCTGGTGGACTAATTTAGCAGTTATTTGGTCGAGCACATGGCATTAATTTTCCGGCAGGCCACAGATGCGAAGTCGCCCAAATAGGTGTATGCCAAGGCCCTGTTAGGCCTCCTGAAGTTACTGTGGTCTAAAAAAAAAACACTTGCACATATTTCCCTGAAGCCTCAGGAGTCTGGTTAACAAAGCCCGCTGTCATTATTCTCATAACACAAGACTGAACGGGTCGCCTGTTGTGTGCGATCGTGACGGGTGGGAATTTTTGCGCTTCTGCTTTTGAAGGTGCACGGAGACAACACTGCAGCACCGGGAAGTGTGTATTGCGCGACTCGAAAGGGCACAGAACTGGGGAGAGAACTGCTGTGAAGTGCGCTTTGTTATCCTGGTTCTTGCCCCACCAAAGTCGGTAGGTTGGCCACACCAATTTTTTTTTACACCAGAATATGGCCTTGCTGTCGAATCGTATGCATTTATATAGTGCATATAAATTCAACCAGTTATGAAGTTACTCGTACTTTTTGTCATCGTCTCCATTGTGTTTTGCTTTATTACTGTTAAGCCAGGGGTTTGTTCTGCAGAAATCTGAAAAAAAATATGATTGCGCTGCTCAATACAAAATAAACCCTGGACAAATTGAATGTATCCATTTCGCTCTGTATCCATTAGTTGCGTGCACCTGCGCGTGTGTGTGTATTCAGCAGTAGGCTTTATGAAACATGAGAGCTGTTGTCTGGGAGTTTCGGAGGGTGTCTTTTCGTCGACGCTTGGTTTTGAGGTCACACCGTCGTGAATCTGCCATCTCAGTTTAGTAAACTTTGCACAGTAATTCGGCAGTTCTCTCCGAATGCGTCGGTAAATGTACGCGTGACGGTTTCACGAAAGCCCTGTGATCTGTAAATGTTTTGTCGCGTAATGAAGTACACTTTTGTAATCGCCGCTCTCTGAATGCAGAAAAGCACCAAGACAGCGACTGAGGTAGGCCGCACTTTCGCAACCATCTTCGTGGACATTGGATTCCGGCAGCAACTCATTGAGGCTCGCTCGCCCGAAGAGTTCAAGCACGCTCTCCTCCTCCGGCGACACGACCTCACGGCGCAGCATGAGGAGGGGGACTCCAGGATTCCCACGCCCGTGCTTGAGCGACCCAAAGCAACCTTGCAGCCAAACCAGCCCGATGGCAGCCCATCTTTCCAGGAGCAGGAGGATTCCAGCAAGTCCTCGGTAAGGTGACCCGAGGGAAGCTATCTGCGTAACGCAGTGACCATCTTTACTCTTTGGTTCTATTCGGTGAAGTCACGTAGGTCGATAGTGAGCCAAAAGTGTCGCGGTGTTGTGTATACAGCATCCGAAAGCGCATCGCGTGCTTTCAGAAGCTAATGGCGCGGTTGGCTACGTACGGTGCGAAATAAGTTTATGACATACTTGCATACGAAGGAAGGTGCAAGCCAACAAAATATGTTGTAAACGTTTCCCCTATATGCCTGACCAAATACTTGAATCGCCGGAAACGAGAAGGGAATAAAAAAACCTTTAAAAGTTACGGTCAAATATGCCATCGTAGCGTTACCTTGTGATGTCACTTCAAAGCTTTCGGGTTCACTTTGGACAACTCGGGGGACATGTAGGGTACCAATGCACGGCATTTGTGCTATTTGGGTTGTAATTTCTTCAGGTGGTGCACATGCTCATTGTTATGCCAACCTAGGTCCGCGTGTAAATATGGTTAAAGGAATTGCACAAACCTGCTGATGGAATGACGTGTGAGAGGATGGTTGATTTGTCGGCTCCTGAAGCCTGAAGTTGATCGTACCAACGACGAAGGAACATCAGTCGTCCATAGAAGATATATGTATTTTTTTGGCATGTTGGGGAGAGAACGTGTAATGTGATCGCGTTGGGTGGGGGGAATCTTAATGACGTTGAAAAGCCCATTTCGGTGAATCAGCAGTTAATTATTTTAACCCAAAGATGGCAGCAGCACCACTGCAAGTCTCCAACAACGGCACGTTACGTTAAGAAACTTGGCACTCTTCCATTCCAGATGTGAGCAAAACAAAGTGTAAAACCAAGTTGACATTTGTAATTTGGCGCCTGTTAAAGTGGCTTTAATTGGACAAACTTGTTCCCAGACATGAGCAAGTTTTCGGTGCAGTCGTCTGGCCACTGGTGTGCTGATTCAGCTACTCCTAGCCCTATGTTGGGTGGGAGGTTGTTTGGTGCCATATTTGCTCTCTTGCGCCCCCTGTGGTTTTTTGATCCATGAGCTGCTCATAGCTGTCAACCCATACGATTTACCCCGTATTCTCTTGTACAGGGAAATTTGAGTTTTCAGGTCCATACGGCGTACAGCCGTTTCAATACGGGCAAAAAAAGTGTCTTTGTTTGTGTTTCTCGCTTGCGATGGGACATTGTAGGATGAACGTTGAGATTTATAAGGGGAACGGGGTGACTAATAAGGTCTGAATCTCTCTGTAATAAGGTTGGGCACTGATAAGGGGTTGACAAGTATGCTACTCACATGGCCAGATGGCAGAACATTGCTTGGCATGTAAATGTGTCACGCGATGACACATCAGTTTTCCTACACGCATACTTCAAAAACGCTGCAACAGTTGTATGAGCAGCGGTTATACGGGTCGTGAAATCCTGCGTTCAAGCTACTGGTAAGGGTAATTGCATCTCACGTGGCACTGAACCAAAGTTACACGCGTTCCAGCACACACACACAGGGAAGCCAAGGGTGATTCATTATAAGGTACACACTGATGAGGGGTCGACAGGTATGGCTACTTCCAGCCCATGCATACGATTCGAGTTACGTCCTTGCCACAGGCCAAGCTAGGAGCCCTATATGATCCATATACACTCTGTTCTTACCCCGTCCCCCACTCCATAATACTCACAAGAGTGTGTGGTGCGTTAACAAAAGAAAAGGCCACATGTTGCTCGTTCCAATGTTAATTATCAACATGCGATGCCGTATAATGGCTGTTTGCAGGGTGGAGAGGCGTTTCCAATTCCTGGTCATGCATGGCACTGCCGTGTTATAGTAATGTTATTTATTGGGATTACGCCACCTGGCAGAGATGAAGACTGTTGGTGAATAAATGCTGCACAAGACCTGATTTACTTGTATATCCATCTCAGACCATTCTCCAAAATTAAAATATATATTCTGTTTGCCTTCGTGTGATTTTTCACGTAGAAACAAATATAAATGTGGTTTTCTTTGCATAACTGCAAATGATCATCTGTTTTAGTACGTTTGATTTCCCAATGCGGTTTTTGGTTGGGTGGGAATTTTGTTGGCAGACAGCTGTGAAAAAAGATGTCAAAATTTATGCAACATTATGAAAAGTGTGTTCATAAAATAAATATATAATTTGGGCGAATGCTCTAGCAAACGGCCATTAAATTAAATAAGGAAATGTTAATGGTAGCAAACAATCCTTATGCACCATTTGGCGTCCCAGTTCGCTTCAACTCTGGCACTGACTGAGATGTCGGAGACACAATATAAGTTTGTGCCTGATGTATGTTGAACTTATTTCGCACCCTACGTAGCCACCCATTCTAATCGGAGGTGTGGGGGAAGGACAACAGACTAACTTACCACGTGTCCTTTCCGTGTGTGGACAGACTGAGAGGAGTATCGTGTGCACTATTCCTGGAATGGGGATTTGGGAAGACATCCGTCGCAGGCTGCCATATTACTCGTCAGACTTCACGGACGGTGAGTTTCCCAGGCCCGCCCCTGTGACCCTGGGTAGGGATTCGTACTACAGTGGAAGCTCCTCTTATCCGTTGACCCTCTTAATCTGCGCACCCCCGTTAACCGTGGCCAGAATCTCTCTGCGGAAATTCCTATTATTCACAGACAGATCGCCGCTGTTATAAGGTAATCCTGTTATCCGTAATAGAGGTTTTTTTTGGATTAGGTCCGCCATGCGCAAAAATTGCCGTTGCCGGAAACTTTTGTTCCCGTGGCTTTTGAATGGATAGGAGTGGCGCAAACAAATCCTCTTCATACTCCGCGTTCATCAGCAGCCTTCCACCATGAATAATAAATGACTACTTGTTTTTCGCCATGACATGGCCTGCAATTACAAGGGCGCAATAATGGTGGTGATGGAGTTGATGGCAATGGATTGATACTGATGGAGTGATAAATGATTGATGGATTGATGGTTATACCATTGATGTGCACTGTTGCTGCACTCTGTCCGACTTAGCTCGAGCTTACTATCATGCCGTGCGTGGACTAAGTCCCCAGCGGTTCAGTTTGTGTAGCATTTGGCGATGAAAAAAATGTTCCGAAGATGACAACCGCTGTGATGGAGGGATTAGATCAGTTTACGGGAACGAGATAGATTTTTAGCATCGCAAGTCTGTGAGAGACTGACAGCATGGGGGGGGGAATATTTGCCCAATAGTGGATTGATAATAGACGATAATGATGATGGTGATGATGCTGATGCTAGTGCTGGGGGTGATGATGCTCGTGTTTGGGGTGATGATGATGACGACGACGACGATGAGTGATTATAGCATGGCACAATACGCTCGAGCAGCAAGATTTTATCCATGATTGCCCACATGGGCGTGGAGTTTTCTGCAGAATGATGCAGTTAATCAGATCGGCAAACCACCCTCGAGAAAGCCTCGCCGAGCTAGACGCTTTCATGAGGGTTCTGCATCGCGATATTTGGCCATTTCCATTTGTGAGTGTTTCGCTTTGTAAGAGAGAGCCAATTACCTGGAGAAAATCCGTATACATAGCAGGGGACATTTCTCAAAGCGCGGGTAGCACCCACTATTTTCAAAATGTATGTAACTGTTTTTAAACCATAAAACATACAATTAAATTAATTCCTCCTACCCCCGTCCACTGCCTCTATTGCCGTCATGGAGTTTTAGTGCCAAGTAGAAGGCCAACAGCCCTCTGCTCCCCATGGTGCACTGCCATGACTGAAAAGGTCCGCACTGGTTCATGAACCCATTGGCTTCATTGCCATCTGTGAGCCATCAAGAAATTGCCTCAAGTGCTGGCGTACAGGTATGCACTATAATAGAGGGGTGTTTCTTTTGGGTTGCATCGCGTAAATATAAATGTGTCGTTAAACCCGCCCACCACCCGACAGCCAATCAGTAAGGTTTGTCACGTAAACAAAACGTGCCAGCGAGTTACTAGTTCAGCACCATCGGTGTGTTGTAGAGTGATCCCGCAACATTTACAATTCGAGTACCGTGTCGTTTCGCCGGTAATTACAGCCAGCATCGTCAGGCGATAGCCAGAATTGTGGAGAAAACCACCATCTTGCCTTTGAGCACATTTTAGAAATTTTACTCAATGATAGAGACCTGCGAGAGATCTGTTTTTTTTTTTAAGCTTCGGATCATGCCGCTATTGTGCAGGGATGAGGTGATGGAATATGTGACGTTTAAAAAAAAAAACTCCCCACTAACCTTGCCCCATCACAAGTTCTCTTCATGGGAGAATCCCTGCAGCTGCAAAATCTTTCTCCGAGCCAGGTCTGTAGATGATGTCCACGGTGTTAGGAAGCACTGCAGCCATGGGATTTATGGTTTTGCAAAGAAGCTCGGTGCTATTGCGATGACACCATTCGTTATTGATCTCGTAGCTGCAGGGACAATTGGTGAAGTGGAATGGAATTGGTACGATGATGTCACGTCGCATGCAGACACAAATGAAAGTCATCCTGGGCATTGCGCTGTTAATTAATTTTTTACTCCATATTGTGCGGTTCTGGCTTCGGGATCATTATGAGCCGGGTAACTAATGGGTGAGGTCTAATTGGTCTTTCCCATGCTTTAGCCCTATGCGGTGCATCATGTTGAGGTGTCAAACGACTCTTTTTCTCTGTGCGCGTGGCAACAATTCGTGATCCAGCCTTGTATGTAAAACAAACAAAAAAAGCTCGGGTGTAAATGCATTTGAATAAAGAATATACTTTGAACACGCACAAGGTAGTACAGTTTATAAACCTTGCAAACCTTGTATTTGGCAGGGATTCTTAGAAACCGGTGCATTGGAAAGTACATCATCGCCATGATATTCCTGTACTTCGCCTGCCTGCTGCCCTCCATCGCGTTCGGATCGCTCAACGACATAAACACGAGAGGAGCGATCGGTAGGCAAGCACCGCATCGCCGTGCTGGCGAGCAACGGGTGGAGCGAGAGGCGGTATTGTGTGCACGTATAAAACATGAATAATCTTATCGCTGCATCTTGGCAGGTTTGTACGGTAATCGAACGAAGATGGCCACTGCATCGCGCACTGGCGCCACGCACTTTTACATCATATAGATTCAAAACTAATTTCTTTAGAACTGCTTTTTGTGTTTGGTTGGTTACGTACGATGTGTAATAATTGTATTCGTGCGTACATGTTTCAGGCTTTTCAATTATAAAAAAATGTTGGTATGTTGGTGCATGGGTACAAAATAATTCTGTAATAATTTATTTGGAGGATGTGATGAAAAAAAATCTACAAATCTGCAGATGAAATTGTACGGTGAACGTTTATATTACAGTTGTGAATAATTTATTAGATTAGCATTCATTTATACAGCGCAATATGAAGAAGCAAATACTTGTTGGTAATACTGTCGAGGTTTGGTATTGTAGCATGAATTTGACATCTGGATGTAAAATCTAAAGGGTTAGTGTAACAGATATCTCTATGGAACCACTTGTGGATTGACACCTTATTCCACTACCGTATTCTCCAGACCACAAGCATGAGTACGGAGTACATCTTATACAGTTTTGTGTGTGACCATATTAGTGTGGAGCTGTGGCGCAACGGTTAGTGCACTGCGCTACCAAACCAGCGACCTCAAACAACCAATAACAGAGGCGAAAATTGGACCGGTCCTGGGCCTCCCGGAGGCCGACTCGAATGAGTACTTGCTGCGGTGTGTAAACATCGCCACTAGGGGGAGACGAAGGTACCCGAGCGTGGTTCTGGCCACCCACCCACGTCCTCGTGTGGCGTGCCGGCCTTCGAAATTGCTCCCTAAAAGCACTTGCCGCAACAGTCAGTTCAGGCCATACGAGAGGGATATTTGTCTTTGACCAGATTAGCTGAACTCCATTGGCACTGGGTACAAAATTTGGGGTGCATCGTACATTCCGGAGCGACTTTTAATCTGTAGGGTACGGTGGTCCCCTATTTCAGCACATTCATTTTATGGGGTTTTGCCCACTGCACCTATTGCCCATGGCTAACAACATCTCGGCGCCCCCTTCTGACTTGTTCTTTGACCTTGCCATGTTCATGAGACACAAACCGCTGCCCTCCTTCTTGGGGATGTGTCTGGCCATTACCTCGATCTCCCACAGATGTTCAGAAGACACTCGTGGCGCAGAGCATGGGAGGAGTGCTGTTTGCGGTTCTTTCGGGACAGCCTCTCATTGTTCTGCTCACCACTGCGCCCCTCGCCCTGTACATATATGGTGAGTCTGAATCATTCGGATGCCGCCGAATTGTAATGGTGAGTTTAGCGCGTGGTGGGCTTGCACGGCCAATATTTATCCACAATGGAAATTGTTTTGGGTTAGATCGCGTGAATATAAACGTGTTGTGTTTAAACCCGCCACCACCCGACAGACAATTTGTGCGGTGAGCAGTTTCTGCCCTGGTTAGAGCAACAAAGTAAGGTGTTAACCTCGCTAATTGTCTGTCAGGTGGTGGCGGGTTTAACAACCCAAAACAACTTTTATTGTAATGGTTGAGCCCACTGCGTTTGTAATACAGAGGTCAACCGCTTCCGTCTCCCAGCGTAGCAGCAACAGCAGTAACAGCGACATCATCATCGTCATTCTACGCATCACCGTCCTCAACAATCACCGTCACCCTGATCATAACCTTCTTCTTCAACATTATTGTCGTCGTTTTATCGGACGACGAGGCATTGACATGGTCGAGCAGAAGCGCGTTCGCCGTTTGTCGCCAATGTTCACGGTTCGAATCCAGCGGTTGCCCTCATTTAATGCTGCGTCTGTATTAACTGTAAAGATACGCGCAGTCTGCTTCACAGTGGCCATGTTATAGGTCCTGTGATGTACTGAAGAAGCTTGATTCCATCTATCACTCGGCCTTTAAGATTTACATTGAACTGCCCATATAGGACTCACCACTGTGATCTCTACATTGGGTCAAACTTAACATCTCTTAATGTTCGACGGCTTGTGCACCAGATCTTATTTATTCACGATGTACTTACAAAAAAATCCGCAGACTACCTGCTGGATCTCCTCTCTGTTTCAAAGAACAAATTTGACCTCAGGTCTTCGCTCATTTACCAGCTTCACATTCCCTATTGCCGTACAAAAACTGGAGGAAGGGCCTTTGCTATTGATGCCCCCAGGGTCTGGAATGCTATTGCCAATAAACTGCAACTTGAATCGCTACCAATGAGATCTTCTCTCAAAACTGCTCTAGAGGAGTTGTACACCCCTAGCTGCCACTGCTATTCATTGGCGTAAAATAAAATAAAATGTTTTCGCTCCGGATGACGCTGCAAAGTATTACCTGTATTTTGATTTAGCGTGCTGATCTTAAAGGTGCATTGAAAAATGTGATACTCCGACTGATGCTTCTGTTGTGGAGTAACTCATGCAGCCAGCTATGGCTCTAGGATTTGGTGTTACATGTTAATTATGTAGTTTATTGTAAAAAATCGGTCACAGTCCCTATGATCATTGTTACGTTACAATTATGGCTTTATTTTTTGGTGATTTCGAAAACGTTTTTTGGTTTGGACATGTTTGTTTTGTTGTAGTATGGAGTTAGACTGATGGCCTTAATCTAAGTTTTCTTGTGATTGTTGTTGTTTGACTTGCATCCCACTGGGATTTTTTGCACACAGCGTTGGTGAATGGTGCTTTTTTCAGGAATATTTTGCTGTTTTTTTCATGGATTTTCTGTTTGCACAGTCACAGTCACTTTAAGAGCCGAATGGCTCACAGGGCTATACCAAAATAAATAAACTGAATAAAACTGAACTGAATGTAATTCGCAAGAGTAAGACCATTTATGTGCTGGCATCACGGTCATGATTTTGCATCGTTTGACAATGCCCCCACTATTCGCTCTATTTTAATTTGCATAGAAGTCCTAGCTGGGTAAACGAGCGCCATCATCATAATTGTCTTCGCATTCGTCATCGCTTTTGTTTCTGCTTGTTTCCGCCCTGATTAAAGCAGCAAATAATGTCCTTTTTAAATGGAATGCAAACATTCCACAACGTGTAGCGGAACGGAGGCAACTAACGTGCGCGTGACTTAAGGCGGAATGGGCCATCGCTACCCTCTCACCCTTTGATGCGATTACGCATGATGGTTGAAACCTTCCACAATTGAGCATGGACCTTTTCAGCGCGAATTGGCTCCATCCTAAACCCACTCGAGTCCCGCCCACGACGGGCCACCCTAGCGGCTCCCCGTTGAGGAAGGGCGGAAGGGGGTGGGGGGTGCCTTTGTTGCCGTTGTGGAATTACGGTCCAAGCGAATTGCGCAAATGTGGAATGGATACCAATTTTGATGTGAAAACGGCCGAGCTTCTGCAAAAAAGATTGCATGATCGCGGTCAAAATAGCGAAACGGTAATAGAGGTTTTTGGGTTAGATGGCGTAAATCTAACCCTAAGAAACCTTTATGGCTAATATGGATAATTATAATTATTATGGAAAATATTGGTCACGAAAGCCTACGTGTTATAGTGATACGATTTGTCCCTTGGGGTGTCCTTTGAGAGACAATTGTACTTTGCGGTTCCCCCTTTGCCGTATTTGATGCAGCGATCCGGACAATTTGCGATGAGTTTGAACTGGACTTTCACGCGTACTACGCCTGCATCGGCCTCTGGAACAGCTTCTTCCTGACACTCTACGCCCTGCTGCATATGAGCACACGCCTTCACCTCTCCAAGCGGTGGGTCTAATAGAAGAACGTCATTTCTGTGATTTAAAAAAAATCTAACTTTTTTTTCCCACAACGCCCTGGACATTTCAGCTGTAGCATGACCTAAGAGCTTAATTATAAATATATCAAATATAAATATGTTTTCTGTCGAGAAATATAGGAAGTTAACTTTGCAGCTGGCCGACCTTCAAAACAATTATAGTTTGGTGGCCCTGTTGGTGGGTATATTTGAGTAGCAGTTGGTGCCCAAGGACAAGATGATTCTCAGAAATTTGAAAACCACTGCTGTTTGGAACATATCAATCACACCCACAATATTAGAGCATACAATGAGGGAAAAAAGTATTTGATCCCCTGCTGATTTTGTACGTTTGCCCACTAACAAAGAAATGATCAGTCTATAATTTTAATGGTAGGTTTATTTGAACAGTGAGAGAATAACAACAAAAAAATCCAGAAAAACGCATGTCAAAAATGTTATAAATTGATATGCATTTTAATGAGGGAAATAAGTATTTGACCCCCTCTCAACCAGCAAGATTTCTGGCTCCCAAGTGTCTTTTATACAGGTAACGAGCTGAGATTAGGAGCACACTCTTAAAGGGAGTGCTCCTAATCTCAGCTTGTTACCTGTATAAAAGACACCTGTCCACAGAAGCAATCAATCAGATTCCAAACTCTCCACAATGGCCAAGACCAAAGAGCTCTCCAAGGATATCAGGGACAAGATTGTAGACCTACACAAGGCTGGAATGGGCTACAAGACCATTGCCAAGCAGCTTGGTGAGAAGGTGACAACAGTTGGTGCGATTATTCGCAAATGGAAGAAACACAAAAGAACTGTCAATCTCCCTCGGCCTGGGGCTCCATGCAAGATCTCACCTCATGGAGTTGCAATGATCATGAGAACGGTTGGAATCAGCCCAGAACTACACGGGAGGATCTTGTCAATGATCTCAAGGCAGCTGGGACCATAGTCACCAAGAAAACAATCGGTAACACACTACGCCGTGAAGGACTGAAATCCTGCAGCGTCCGCAAGGTCCCCCTGCTCAAGAAAGCACATATACATGCCCGTCTGAAGTTTGCCAATGAACATCTGAATGATTCAGAGGACAACTGGGTGAAAGTGTTGTGGTCAGATGAGACCAAAATGGAGCTCTTTGGCATCAACTCAACTCGCCGTGTTTGGAGGAGGAATGCTGCCTATGACCCCAAGAACGCCATCCCCACCGTCAAACATGGAGGTGGAAAAATTATGCTTTGGGGGTGTTTTTCTGCTAAGGGGACAGGACAACTTCACCGCATCAAAGGGATGATGGACGGGGCCATGTACCGTCAAATCTTGGGTGAGAACCTCCTTCCCTCAGCCAGGGCATTGAAAATGGGTCGTGGATGGGTATTCCAGCATGACAATGACCCAAAACACACGGCCAAGCAACAAAGGAGTGGCTCGGGAAGAAGCACATTAAGGTCCTATAGTGGCCTAGCCAGTCTCCAGACCTTAATCCCATAGAAAATCTGTGGAGGGAGCTGAAGGTTCGAGTTGCCAAACGTCACCCTCGAAACCTTTGACTTGGAGAAGATCTGCAAAGAGGAGTAGGACAAAATCCCTCCTGAGATGTGTGCAAACCTGGTGGCCAACTACAAGAAACGTCTGACCTCTGTGATTGCCAACAAGGGTTTTGCCACCAAGTACTAAGTCATGTTTTGCAGAGGGGTCAAATACTTATTTCCCTCATTAAAATGCAAATCAATTTATAACATTTTTGACATGCGTTTTTCTGGATTTTTTTGTTGTTATTCTGTCTCTCACTGTTAAAATAAACCTACCATTAAAATTATAGACTGATCATTTCTTTGTCAGTGGGCAAATGTACAAAATCAGCAGGGGATCAAATACTTTTTTCCCTCACTGTATATGCTTCATATTGCATTCTGGTTGTATATTCTGTCGTATAAGAATGGAAACGTTTTGGCTTTCTTGCAGATCTATTGAAGAGATATTTGCGCTCTTCATCTCCATCGCCTTTGTGGTGGACGCAATCAAGGATATCATTAAGAGTACGTTGTGTTGTATTGCCTGACTACAATTGCACATCCACATTCAATTTCAAAACCGTCATGGAAAACAGTGTACATGTTGAACTTTTGCACCGTATGTAGCCATCCGTCCTAATCGGAGGTGCTTAAAAAGCTGTAGGAGATATCAATTTTCTAAGGAATGTAGCGTGTACAAAAACAAAGCTACGGACTGGTAATACATGTGTAGGCTTACAAAGGGTTTGGGAATTAAATTATTTTTCACGTTAATGCGGTTAAAACGAGTTCGCTTGTTAAAATTATTTTTTTTGCTGAACCTCTCCTGTTTGCATGCACTTGAGGCAGCGGTCGTGTGTTGGTCTGATTCTGTTTTTATTATGTTTGCAATTGCAGTGATTGTAATACGGTACTTTAAAAAAAAACACATACGAAAGCAGAACAGATAGGCAACTAATCTTTCGCACTCCGTGAGCACGAGCATTCGCATTACAACCTAGATTATATATTCTCATGCAGTCATCTGATTGCCACCTACAGTACATTTCATTTTGCTCGCCGTTTTTGACGTGTGCTGCTGTGATGGCCATATTTTAGGAATGTGAGTCATAATATCCGTTCTTTCTCATCGCATGCTTTGAGTTGACTACTTGCCTTAATTTCCACGTTTTTGAAATGGTGAACACAAAAAAGCTGACAAAATGTGGAGAACCATAAGGTCAATTATTCAGTACTAATTTAACATTGCAAAGTTGGTTTTAATGCAAATTATCATGTTATCACTGTGGTAATGATTTATCAATTCGTATTACAATCGACTGTTGCATTTCTGCCCAAAACCGTTCTGAGACTTCTGTAATGACACGAGTGTAGCAACAGCAGAACCGCTAAACGCAGGTGCTGCTGTCGATGTATGTTAAAGTTCTTTCACAACGTTCATAACCAACCATGCTAATCGGAGGTGCGGAGGAAAGACGACAAACTAAACACCAAAAACCAGTTCTAAAGAAGCGAGTTTTCTATCTAAATTTAAAAGTGCACAGCTCCAGTGGCCTAACATTGGAAGGAAGAACTTTCCAGACGGCCACAGAAGCGCACCTGAAAGCGCGCGATGCGGTGACCGTCTTTGTTCGACGGCCAGCGAGAAGCTGCTGCTTCTGCAAGGATGACCGCAGTTCGCATGATGGTTTCTGCTTTTTGACGAGATCAGCAAAGTTACTGCCGTGGTTAATTCGTGGCAAGCGCTTTGCGTGTAACGAGGGCGACCCTTTTCGATACGGCTTTCCCGACCAAAGCTCCCGCTGTCTCCCTGGTCGTCCGCGTGTCCGTGAAGTCTTCAAGCAGAACTATCTGCCCGGGGAGCCGGGAGGCTGCGGTTCTGCGGGGAACAACACGAGCGATGACGGCTGGGAAGGCGCCGCCGGGGTGGACTCGGGCGGCCCGAAAGGCAGCCGTGACGTGGCTCTTCTGGCCCTGCTCCTCATGCTGGGCACTGTGTGGCTTGGGAGCACTCTTTACCAATTCCGCAAGCGGTGAGCACAAACCCCCATCTCTCGGCGCCCCATCTCTCCCGTGACGTGGCCCCCGCAAAGTTGTGCAATGCCCCCCGAGGCCCTCGAGAGTGCGGTGGACTTTTGGCATTCGTTGGTTCGACGAAACACGTCGCAACTATGAGATGGCTCTCCACGCTGTGTGATGAGTTTGTAGTGGTGCGATGATGATAGAAGCCATCCAGCACCTGCGCACGACCTGATTTCATTGTTTCATCTCCTCCGTGGATGTAATCTTGTGTGCATTCCGTTCCATGGCTACAGATCTGTCATTAAACTAAACTATTTTACCAGGAAAGGCCCACTGAGCTATATATTTTTCAGAAGTGATTTGGCCATAAATGGTACCCTGTCGAAGTCAAATAGAATAATTTCTCCAGCCCCACCCGTCACTGCACACCACAAACCGTCCACTCCTCTCCCCTGTGAACTCCCACAGCCAAACTCCTTCCCCCTCCCCTCCCCGCTCAGTGCCTATATAAAGCCACAACAGCAGATCATTTTTTCTCACCTGAAGACGGACGCTTGTGTTGCGACCGAAACGTCGTGTTTTCTTTTTTTTCTGTCTACGTGACTTTACTGAAAGAACCAGAGAGTATGGATTACTGCAGTCACGAAAGCTTCAAATCAATGTTGTTACATACAGTGAGGGAAAAAAGTATTTGATCCCCTGCTGATTTTGTCCGTTTGCCCACTGACAAAGAAATGATCAGTCTATAATTTTAATGGTAGGTTTATTTGAACAGTGAGAGAATAACAACAAAAAAATCCAGAAAAACGCATGTCAAAAATGTTATAAATGGATTTGCATTTTAATGAGGGAAATAAGTATTTGACCCCCTCTCAATCTTAAAGATTTCTGGCTCCCAGGTGTCTTTTATACAGGTAACAAGCTGAGATTAGGAGCACTCCCTTTAAGAGTGTGCTCCTAATCTCATCTCGTTACCTGTATAAAAGACACCTGTCCACAGAAGCAATCAATGAATCAGATTCCAAACTCTCCACCATGGCCAAGACCAAAGAGCTCTCCAAGGATGTCAGGGACAAGATTGTAGACCTACACAAGGCTGGAATGGGCTACAAGACCATTGCCAAGCAGCTTGGTGAGAAGGTGACAACAGTCGGTGCGATTATTCGCAAATGGAAGAAACACAAAAGAACTGTCAATCTCCCTCGGCCTGAGGCTCCATGCAAGATCTCACCTCGTGGAGTTGCAATGATCATGAGAACGGTGAGGAATCAGCCCAGAACTACACGGGAGGATCTTGTCAATGATCTCAAGGCAGCTGGGACCATAGTCACCAAGAAAACAATTGGTAACACACTACGCCGTGAAGGACTGAAATCCTGCAGCGTCCGCAAGGTCCCCCTGCTCAAGAAAGCACATATACATGCCCGTCTGAAGTTTGCCAATGAACATCTAAATTATTCAGAGAACAACTGGGTGAAAGTGTTGCGGTCAGATGAGACCAAAATGGAGCTCTTTGGCATCAACTCAACTCGCCGTGTTTGGAGGAGGAGGAATGCTGCCTATGACCCCAAGAACACCATTCCCACCGTCAAACATGGAGGTGGAACATTATGCTTTGGGGGTGTTTTTATGCTAAGGGAACAGGACAACTTCACCGCATCAAAGGGACGATGGACGGGGCCATGTACCGTCAAATCTTGGGTGAGAACCTCCTTCCCTCAGCCACGGCATTGAAAATTCCAGCATGACAATGACCCAAAACACACGGCCAAGCAACAAAAGAGTGGCTCAAGAAGAAGCACATTAAGGTCCTGGAGTGGCCTAGCCAGTCTCCAGACCTTAATCCCATAGAACATCTGTGAAGGGAGCTGAAGGTTCGATTTGCCAAACGTCAGTCTCGAAACCTTCATGACTTGGGATAAGATTTGCAAAAAGGAGTGGGACAAAATCGCTCCTAAGATGTGTGCAAACCTGGTGGCCAACTACAAGAAACGTCTGACCTCTGTGATTGCTAACAAGGGTTTTGCCACCAAGTACTAAGTCATGTTTTGCAGAGGGGTCAAATACTTATTTCCCTCATTAAAATGCAAATCAATTCATAAAATTTTTGACATGCGTTTTTCTGGATTTTTTTGTTGTTATTCTGTCTCTCACTGTTCAAATAAACCTACCATTAAAATTATAGACTGATCATTTCTTTATCAGTGGGCAAACGTACAAAATCAGCAGGGGATCAAATACTTTTTTCCCTCACTGTATTTTGTGGTGTTACATAAGCTTGAGGCAAATTTCCTTTTGACAACCCTGCCTTGACGTGAAATATACTTTATTTGTAACTCCTTGCTGCAGGCCGTATCTGCACCTGCAAGCGCGGGAGATCCTGTCCGACTGCGCCATGCCCCTCTCCGTCATCGCCTTCTCCTTCCTGGGCTCCTACGTGTTCCGAGACATTGACCGTATGGCTCCGCTCACGTGTTGCAGGCATTTCCTCTGTAGAGTTTTCGTTTTTCACGTAGAGTCGTCTGGTATGCATAGACATAGACGACTCTACCGAACCTCGTGTGAGTAGGATAATAACGCGGTGGGCCCATATAGCAGTTGTCTACGTTACAAACAGAACGGAGGTTTGTTTAAAACTTAGAGCACCTGTGGTACATTTGCATTAACAGGAAGCAGCTGCACTGTCTTGTCTTCATGATGACTGTTTTAAACGTATCATTGTATACGCGGCCACTGCTTGTGCACTGCAGTTCAGTATTTGGATGTGAACATTAACACCTGTAATGGCAGAAATGTGTTTTTGTTTTACTTTACATTACTTGCCGAGTGTTCCACACATCCCTGCAACCTCCGACTAGCACGGTTGGCTATGTACGGCACGAGAGACGTTCAACGTACGTGCATACATCTCAAGCCTGTAAATGCTTGAGATGTATGTTGGGCATGCTAACACATTATCACTCGCACCAAATATAAGCCCAGCATAGGTGTTCGGCTTGACGGAATATCACCGCTCTTGAGTGGCGTTCAACTAAAGGTGATTTACCATTCCCTTCCGTTGAATGCCTTGATTACGCAATCCACTTCATAATCAACTCCATTTAAATTCACGGTTGATCACTTAGTGCAATATGCTCCGTCGCGATGAAGGTGTAAATCGTGTTACATCAGCCGTGGTTACAGTGTAAACCTGCGTACAAACATAGAGGGTCCTCAGCTTGTTGGTTATGAATGCTTGGCAAAGCGTGGTGCACCGATTTAATCACGTGTGTACGTTGAACTTCTTTAGCGTCGTACGTAGCCAACCATGCTAATCGGGGGTGCAGTTACATTTCTATGTTGGGTAGATGACAACAAAAACATCACCACACCCCGATAATTAATCAAATTAGGATGTTGTATCCAGCTATAATAAAACATTTTTTTATAATAATTGACAGCACTGTGAAATGAAGGCCTCTCTAAAGCGTGTCAGAAACGGGCGTTGTTTGGCCGTACTTCACGTTGGTCAGTGTGGGTCGGGGAAGGATGAGAAGGCCCCAGGACCAGCTAAGATATCTCTCGCCCCCGACGTTGGCCGTGGCTGGGATCGAAACAAACGTCTCGCTGGGTTAGTGCGTGGACAATTACTGCGCAAACCTCCGATTGACATGGTTGGCTACGTCCAGGTGCGAAAAGAAGTTCAACATAAGTATACAGCAGAAACCTTCTCCTCGACCACCCCTGTTAACGACTAATTGTTTGACGACGGGCCTCCATAGAGCCCAGTGTATAGTGTAGTGTGTAGTGTATAGTAGTGTAGTGCCTCCATAGAGCCCAACGTGTTCGCTTACCGACCATTCCCCTGTTAACGACTGGCTGTTGTAGCTACAGTAAATATTAATTAATGCATTGATTAACCATGTTTCTTTTTAATTTTGTGTTTTATAATGTCGTTAGTATCCATACGTATTAACATCCATTGTTTCAAATATTATAAATTACGTTTTCCGGGTTAAAAAGTGTAACTTTTGATGCTATCGGAGCGAATGAAACCTTTTTAACGTGTATTTCCTATCCTCGCTTAATGACCAAATTACTTAATGACCGTTTTTCCCGGAACCAATTACCGTCATCAAGAGAGGTCCTACTGTACAGTGGCACGTAACAAAGTCTGTCGCCGGCTCTGAAATGTGTTGGTAATGTCTGCACCGCCCCACCGCCTCCTGTTGCGTGTGTTGCAGTGACGGGCCTCAAGTTCAGCTACACTCCGAGTGAGAGCTACTTCGCGCTGGCGCCACTGAATCTCCTAACGGTGGGCTCGATTTGCAGCGCAATGGGCATCGGCTTCCTGCTCTCAATCCTTTTCTTCATGGAGCACACGATGGCCGCCTCGCTCACCAACGCACCGCACAACAGGTTTGTCCTCGTCGTGCCCAAGGGCGATTACTTGTTCTCTTGATGTGCACGTGTGGTACCCGTGAGCTTGTCACAATGATATATAATGGTGCTTCTGGATGAAATAAAATCGTCGACTGGTGGTGGTCTTGAGCCAAGACGTGCGTGGGTTTGCAGTCGCGCACGTAGATAATACATAGAATTAGAAACCTCCTTAACCCCAAGGCACTGGCACTTTCGTGGTTCGGATGGCTTTATATATTTGATAACCACGTTGTTTTGTCTACCAAATGCAAAATGGGCACATGCGTGAAACCACACCAAAAAACTGCCGACGAAAGCGTCGGCTGAAAAATAAAATCAGCTTTAATGACGAACGCTCATCGTCTCTCCGTCTCCGAGACCGCTCGAAGGCAGCGGCCATTTAACAGTCGGCTGCGCATCGTTGACACGGCAGGCTGAAGAAGGGAACGTCGTACCACTGGGACCTGCTCCTGGTGGCCGTACTCAACGCCACCTTCTCGCTTTTCGGGCTGCCCTGGATGCACGCCGCCTTCCCGCACTCTCCGCTGCACGTGCGCGCCCTCGCCACGGTCGAGGAGCGCGTGGAGGACGGCCACGTGGACGAAACGTGAGCGGGGGGGGGTGCACACCGCCGCGTGCCCGCTTGGCTGCTCGTCGCCACAGCGCCGCACGTGCCCAACGCGACGAGCTACGGGAAATGCAGCTTGCCCGATTTTAATTCCCCCGGGTTGTTTTGAGCAGTATTAGCATTCGGCGCTGTGATACTGGGCACAAACTAATTAAGCAAAAGCTTAGGGTCCCAAGTAATTTAAAGAGGTCTTTTAAAAGAAAAAAATGCAGCAACACCCTGATTTAAATCTTCCCCCCCCCCCTCAACACCGACACTTATATTGCTGACGGCATCGCCCATCCTCTCTCGTGTCCGTTGCCTCGGCCTTCACCTCCACCTACCTACCTGTAAAATCGCCTTGATTTGAGCCATTTCGACATTGGCCGCCGCACCTTTCAGCAACGCGTCGCCGATGTAAACCAGACTATTACTGTGTGTGTGTGCAAACGACGCTAGTGCAGCCCTGCAATTGGTGGAAGGGCCTACACTAGAGGGAGTTGTAGAGGGTATTTGGGCTCTGCTCTTTCGTGCCGACACACGACCTGCCAATTGACTGGGGTAAGCCCATTTATACTGCTGGGTGGATAGAGGTGGGGCGGGGGTCATAAACTTGCCCATTGTTCAAATGCCGAGATGAAATCAAACGGCCGACCCATGATCGCAAGTTCAGTCGTGCTCACCGTCACGCCAAGGCAACTCCCTTAAATAAATAGGTGTTCACCAATATAGGCTTAAACTCGGATCATTGTAAAATTAACAGCTCAATTCCAATGACGTTATTACCAACGATAGTAAGTAGTCTACTACGTTTATTACGTCACATGACTGTTATGTAATTGAGTGATGTGGCTTGCACTATAGCTTTTGTATTCAGGTGACGCACCCCCAAGTTATGTCTGCTTCGGCACCCCAAAGAACTAGCAGGGACCACTGTTGGAAATTAACATCTTTTAAGGAATGTCTTCGCTTGCGAACGCTTGTGCGCTCACGTCAGCCTGTGCCCACGTGACCTTGTGCATGTGTGTGTGTGTGCCTTTGTGTGTGTGTGTGCACGCTTGCAGCATCGTGTGCGTGCGCGAGACACGCGTCCCCGTGCTCCTAGCGCACATGCTGCTGGGTTTGTCACTTTTTTTTCTGCTGCCCCTGCCACTGCAGTGGATTCCACGACCCGTGCTGGATGGCATCTTTTTGTACATAGCTCTCACGTCGCTGGATGGAAACCAGCTCTTCCAGCGTCTGGCTCTGCTGTTCACCGAACAGGTAATGAAGTGGCAGGCGCTAGGTTGAAGGTCGTTTGCTGCGTTGGCCTTGTGCCACGCAGACGGCTACGGGACAGAGGGTCCTCTAGGATTAAAAGCATTAAAGCTGCACTCGGAGATGTTTGTAACATTGTCGGCGCAACGTAAATGCGAGTTGTTGTGGTTGCAAGAAGGAGGTCACGTGACGGCCTCTTCATGCAGTACTATCTATTAATGTACGGTACTGAGATGTGGCCAAATGAAGTGTTAGAACAAAAATAGCTGCATTTTATGAATTCCAGAATATGTGAGTTTGTTCAACTCTATAAATTGCATGGGGTTTCGAATTTGCGTAATTACAATTTTGCGGTTTAGTTTCTTACAGACACTAAAAAACCCAAGCTGGAACATTAGTGTTGTTTTTAGCCACCAAATGAGTTTCCTGGATTCGTTTCCTGTAGTTGAGAGCAGATCTTGCCATGCTTACATCTACAGTACTCCCCTTGTATGACGCCCCCACTCGATCATTGTCCAAACTTTCCCAGGTAACGCAGCTCAAAAGCGTACATCGAAAGGGTTGTGATCAATTTCCTTCTGGGGTCGTTTTGTGAAACACTTTACTACCTCTTGCGGAGTTGCAGTGGCTATGGCTTGCCTCCATATTTATTTCGGACAGTGACGATTCGTGGAATAATTTTGAGCGCACGAACTTGCAAATAATGGTTTGGGACTGTCAGTGTGACAAACAACTTCTGGCAGCCATGTGAGTTACGAAATATGATTGGCAATCTTCCCATATGCAGCCTCCCTCCTTATTGCCATTATTTTGTCATGAATGTGTCAGTAGTTGTGGAGCGGTGGGCACGGCCAACGTCGGTGCCAAGCGATATTTTGCGTCATTGTGAGCAACCATTTGTTGCGCACCAACGAAGTATGGTCAAACAATTCCCGTCACCGACGTTGTGGGAAGGCCTTCATCCAGCAAAGGATTGACAAAGGGCTAAAAATCATGACATTCGTTATTCTTCTGTCTTAGTTCGGTAGATTGTATATCTTGTCATTTCTCTATGTTTCAAGTAGGCCTTGGTTTGTGAGAGCTTTTGCTATTAAGATCCGTGTCAATTTCCTCCATAATTAAGATTTTGTCTGCCATTAGTTGTTTATTCTTTATCACTTAGGGGGATACCTTTTGTGAATTGTCATGCATAATATGCAGCCTATTGTGTTTTTAAAAATAAAAAATCCATTTGTGCAGCATGGTAAAGGAAGACTAGTCACGTGTTACTGTTCCTCTAGCCTTACTGTGTTATGGCCATACCTCATGTGAATCAATCTACAAACCCTCGCTTTGTATCGCTCTTATTCACGATAACCTTCGTTCAAATTACAGTTTATTATGTGCATAATCTAAATGAGAATACACCAGAGGGATATTTTCTTTTCATAGACCTACATAATAATTATACAGTCATTCTATAGAAAATGAGTGTTACAAAAGTTATGTGGTGAGCATCAGTTGTGTTCACACGTCCTGATTTGCATAATAGGCAGCTCATATGTAGTAAAATTTATGACTATTTTAATGAAAAATGCACCTGGAATGAATGATTCAGGAGGTACAATAAACCGCACACAAGTGGGAAAGTAGCCAGAACTGGCACCGACAATTTACCAAACCTATGTTGGGGCCTATATAGGGGATGTTTGATTAACTCTACATTACATTTGCAGTGGTAATAAAGTCAAATAAATAATGTGAATGCAGCAATGTCACCGATGTCTATCTTAAATCGAAATTGAGGGGAGAAAGACCTTGAAAAATAAGCTCGCAATGTTACGTAGAACAACTTGAATACACAAAGGAACTCCAATAGTGTTCATAGAACAAAGTTACATGAACATCGAGATGCATCATGTACTTGAATTACTTCTTGCACTACTCGTCGGTATATGCCCGACAGTAATTTAGGTGCAGTCGCACAGAAGCCTGTGCAATCAATTGCGTGCGCTGATATTTTTATGTACATTGTCATAGTAATGTGAATTACCACTGGCAGGAAACACCCAATTGTAACTGATGTGAAATTGTCAATTATAACAATGATTAAAAACGACAACATCCTGTTTATGACACACACGCGGCCGGACTGATTATCCGGGCAGAAAGGAATTTCCCACCAACTCACGAGTGAAGACCACGCTCTACATTTGTTTGTGTTTCTTGTGCCACATTTGCCTTCGGCCGGGCCGTGGCGGCCTATAATCCGGCACCGGGGGGGGGGGGGGGGGGGGGGGGGGGGGGGGGGGCGGCGAGGGAGGGTTGGCGGATCGCACAAACGTCGTGAATCTCCTTTCCTCTGAGCGTCGAGTTGCCATACCCTGGGCTTGTCAGGTGAAGTTGGTGCAGGGAAAAATGTGGATTAAAACCTGTACCACCTGTATGGGATAGCGTTTCCACCCCCCCCCTCCCCCCTCTCACGCGCGTGAGTTTTCTGCGGGTGCACCTGTTTCCTCTCACATGTAACCAATCATTAATTGGCTGATAATAATTGCTTAATACGTCGAGCACCGCAGAGCTTCCCGTTTTGCCTGTGGTTCCTCCCGAGTCGTTCTCTCGTCGAGAACGAGGAGCGGAATACTGTGCCGTCGTGAAAATGACTCGCGATCACGTAACCACTTAAAATTTAGCTGAACCCAGCATTTGGTCTTGGCACGTATTTCCACAGCAACCCTACGACACTGCCAAGTTTTTAGCTCGAACTTGGCCGCGTGCCCACTTTTGGCAAGCCGCTGTAGCTCGCGCTGCGAGGGCAACGGGAACACGTTTAGCCCGGCTGCCCTCGGACACGGTCACAATGTCACGAGGTCAATGCACGCCGTCTATTTCGTCTCTTTAGGTCCGTCTCCTTCGAGTGCGAGCGAATCCAAGCGTTGTGTTCACGATCATTTTCCTCTGGCCTCGCAGGGGAATGGAGGGCATGAGAGATGTCGGGTTTTGTTCGTTTAACCGGGCGAGAAGAGACCCAGGGTAGTCTCACCTGATGATGATGATTGCTTGTGTTGCAGTCGAAACGTCGTGAGAATTTTATTGTTTAATATTTTTATTATTTTATTGTTTCCCTTCTACGTGACTTTACCGAAAGAACCAAGAATATGAATCCCTGCAGTCACGAAAGCTTTCAATCAAAATTTAAAATATAAATTGTTGAGCTCTTCCAATAATGTCTCGATACGGCTTGGGTCCGTTTATAATATTTGCAAGAATACAGAAGTCGCATTTTGTAGGAAACGTGGCATTCTGAAAGTGGTTTCATACGAGTCATCGAAACCCCTCGCTTTGCTTTGCAATATATCATTTAGGTACTTCAGGGAGGAGAGTAATCTGAATCAGGAACCACACAAACGCTAAAAAAACATGTAAATAGTGGAGACATCATGGGTGTTAAAAAAAAAAGTGATTTTGTTCAGATTGACGGCTGATGGACATTAGCGGAATGGCAGCCAAAGGAGAACCGTAGAGGACGCCGCACCGGGGAGACGGATTGACGAGATTAGTTCACGCGCAGGCGTGAGAAACGCGTCGTGGCATCCGCAGGGACCATCAGGAGGAAGCCGGGGGGGTGGGGGGGGGGTCCATCGTCGATCAGTGGCTCGACACAATGGTGGAGTTTTGACGACTCGAGTTATCCGTCACACCTGCCGGTCGTGAAATGTGACGCGGCTCTCCACCCCCCCCCTCCCCCTCCCCGTGTGTGTCCCCGCACAGACGGCCTACCCGCCCACGCACTACGTGCGCCGCGTGCCACAGCGCAAGATCCACTACTTCACGGGGCTGCAGCTGCTGCAGCTGGCCGTGCTGTGCGGCGTGGGATTCTCCCCCATACCCTACATGAAGATGGTCTTCCCGGTCATCATGCTCGCCGCCCTGCCCGTGAGGTGAGGCCCGCGTCCGAGGGTGAATGTTTACCCAGAGAGGGGGGGTTGGTTTCTGCTGCGGGCAGACGCAACGTGTGCCTTAAACCTGCAAGCACAACAATAGAGTCAATACGTTGACTCGAGCTTTGTTCCCTCTCCCTTAAACCTGCAAGCACAACAATAGAGTCAATACGTTGACTCGAGTTTTGTTCCCTCCCCCTTAAACCTGCAAGCACAACAATAGAGTCAATACGTTGACTCGAGTTTTGTTCCCTCCTCCCCCCCCCCCCCCATGCAGTCACCCGTAACATGACTTAACGTGACTTACGTTACACAAATTATATTTTGCAAAAAAAAATAAACAAAGACTCATATCTGTCTTTCGATGTAAAACAAAAAGTGTTCCTTACACAACCCGGTCAGCCCATCGGCATAAGAAATATTTTAATTTGCTGTGTGGAGAAACGGATTTGTGAAGGAGATGCGTATTTTCTGCTTATTTATTATTTACATTCTCCACAACTACGCTCATCATTATTTTTGAGCCATCTTCGATTTTACGGTCGGTACTGTGCAAGGGAAACTGGACCTCGGGAAAGGTGAATGTGAGGTTATTGTGAGGTTATTGAGAGGTTATTGAGACTAACTTGGGAACTTCATTTTTCTTTCACTGTCAGCTTGAATTTGCGCACATTTATCAAACAATGTTGGGTTCAATTGCCTCTGGGTATTACCTGGCAACAAACGTGACAATTTTATTTCCTACTGTGGTCACTTATCACGTGACATTGTAAGTAACGAGAGAGAAATTAAAGTACGTATTTTGATACGAGGTGAATCTTCTGCACGTTCGCACGCAAGGGGGTGCTTATTCAGACGTTTGATGGACCTCAGTGGAAAGCTTTAAAGGGTAATTGGAAAGCAGCGACAGCTCGAGTTCCCGTCATGACCTGAAACGTCGACTCCGCCATGCCTTGCCAACGCGCCCCCTACCCTCCTGCAAGATCCTGCAGCTGCTCAGCAGTAGGCGCCTGCCCCCCTCCAATATCCAACCGAACGGTGTGCCACCATCCACTCTTAGGACCTTCTCCTTGGTCACCGGGCGTGTGGAGACCATTCCGTATGACATATGAACCTACCTTGTGGGGCATAAACACGTGTGAAATTCCCATCCTTGCATGAATACAATGCCACCTTTTTAACCAAGCCGGCCCGCTGCCTTTATACAAATATTTCACAAGCGGCAACCTCGCTGGAACTTTTCAAATGGGTAACTATAAGCTGCAGTGAAGTCTTGCTTGGCTGAGCTTAGTGATATAACATCTCAGTGTGATATAAACAAATTAAACCATGACTTCAAAGACACCGGTTTATTTTTATCATTTAGCTGTGCTGATAAAATATGCCGTGTCAACATTGCTTTGTTTTACTCGGAGCCAAGCCAAGCACAGCGAGCAATGGCAAGAGGATCATTGTCTAAACGTGTGTTTCATTACTTGGAGTCCTTTCTAAAGAAAAGTTCTGCATGATGATGGCTTTAGTATTTCAAGGCATAGCCCCACATTGTCATTCTCATGCCAGTGCTGGTGTGCGGACCTCTCCTTGAGGGAGCCACACTCTAAGAGGGTATTGGGCTTACTCTTCCACGCTGCCAAAATACGTCTTGGAGAGGAGGCGGGCGTACCCACACTTTGCCCAACCACACATGACCTGCTGATCGACTAACTGGTGGTGACCCCATTTATACTGCCAGGTAGACAGAAACGAGGGAGATTTAAGGTGCTTGTCAGCATTTTAATATTGGCCTAAGATAGACGTAGATTTTTTTGGTTTCTTTTGTTTAAACCCGTAACTCTTTTACGCATGCGTGTTTTTTTCGTTGGCAGGTTTTTCGCCGTTCCAAAAATAATTGAATCCCGCTACTTGGATGTGATGGACGAGGAGCTGTGAAGATGGACGAGGAGCTGTGAAGATCCACGCGGCGAAAGGGGGTGTTCGTTGTGTGTGCTCGTCAACGCGTGGGTTTGCCGAGGCCGTCGGCCGCGGTTGTGATGATGCATTGGCGGCGGTTTGTCTTCATGCATTTTCTGGATACAGGGCTTGTGAAATAATTACCACCTTGTGCAAGTGAACAAAAGAGTACCAATTCGTGTAAAATGACGGTTTTATAAGAGGCTGTGGGCTGTACGCGATCTGCGCGACCTGACACGGAGCGACGGCTGTATTGGTTAAACACGCTTGTGGAAATGAAGCCATGCGGCGTGTGTGTGTGTGTGGGGACCACGTTATACAAGGGTTAAAGGTTAAGGCAGAAAAATATTGTCTGACTTGTCACCCTTCCCTGCCAAATCCCCGTTATTAATGTTCTTCCGTTTACCGACTGCTCCTGGAATGTACCGTGTCTGGTAAATGTGTGTGTCATCGGAGTGCTTTTTAGTACGCAGTGTAAATACCAACACTAAAGAGATAAACGCGATAACTGGGAATTGCCAGCCCATTTGAATGCCCGTGGTCGACCACAATAGTTGCCTGTGTGAAAGGGTAAAATGGAATGCGTGTGGTGTGGGGGGACATTTGATGATGCACACATGTCCATCGCATAACGTTATGAAAAACCTGAACTGATACTGAGCTTTAGTAGCAATATGGTATTTTTAAGGCACTTTTTAAAATTGGTTTTATTTGATCATAAGGTTGATATTTATGTGCAGCAGCAGCACTAATATAATTTTTGTTTTGTGAATAAAATGTAACGTTTTCATTCCCCCAATGTGAATGAAAATAAACCCAGTTTTAATGAAATTATGTTTCTGGATATATCCCAAATCGGTCAATTACTGCACCTCATAAGCAATAACATTGGTATATTTATTAATTATATCCTTCATGTGTTTTGTTTTTACCATTTTAATGTGATTTATTGCTCTGGTGTACAATGTAAATATTTTTTTCCAGATTTCTGTAGGTCAGGATTTTTCAAGGTGAACTATGTCAAGTAAGCGATATACATGTCCAAGTGTCCTGCCATTAAAACTTCTAATAACTGTAAATATTCCACCTTGACAGCCTCTTATGCAGATTAATAAATTGACCGATACGTGTATGGGTTGTTGGGCTACAATTGGTGATTTACTTCTGTAAAAATCACTACAATATCGTAAGACATGTTGGTCTTAACATAAGCCATCGTCTATAGAAAGTCACTTTATATTAAACACACCAAAAGGCTCATACAAGTGGATGATATTTGTGAATAAACATTTTAGATTTTACATTTGAGCAGATGTTTGAAATTGATTGTGTGTGTGTGTGAGAGATTTTGGGTCCCATCTAACATCAGAGGAGATAATGACCTGGTCCTGGGCCTTCCCACCTAGGTCAACTCAGCCTTAAATAACTGGATTGGATGCATGTGTATTGAGCGACTTCCGAGACACAACGTGTAGAGGGCTTCTTATTTATTTCTCACACTTGGGCACAAACACTGCGCGATACATAGAAACGTATCTACACAGCTACACACAGCCGACCTTTCTACACAGCCCCATCGTTGGTGTCTAACTTACACAGCTGGCCGACTGATGTAGCGATGACGACGATGGGAGACGTGAAGAGGATCGGCCATCGCGGCCGGACGACGAGGAGAGATGATGGCGAGCAGCGACGCAGCCAGGACCTGGGACCCCGCGACAGCCCTGAACCTTCGGTTACGTCCCCCCTATATACTTCTCCCTATATACTTACCGGCGTGGTCAGGCCCCGCCTCTGGCCACGCCCCCTTCTAGAACCTTCGAGCAGGTTCCCGGAACTTCCCGACTAACTCCACCTTTTACCTATAACCCAGACACGCCCCCTTCTAGTTGGTTATATAACGTGCCCACAGGTATCACGCAAGCTTAAGAATTGATATCGAATGGTTGACCAATATATCCATCACCACCAGGGCTTTCATACAATCTCAGTGGGCCAAAGCTCAGGAGGCCAAAACATTCCTTGTGGGTCATTTACCATCTTGTGGGCTTTTTTTAAAATCTTAAACCAGATGTAATATTCTTATCTTATTCAATATGAAACACATTAACCTGAATGGACTATTTATAATAATTAAATTTAACAAAAACGGATGAGGATGATGCCGTTACTGACCAAGACGATACATGACTTGGTTTTAGTGGCTCTGGATGCGGAGCCAGGAAGGAGGAGCCGTAGGGGTCATGTGGAGCTGCTTCGAATCAGCTCCCGATGGGGGGAGGGGGCTCCTCAGAGGGCTCCAGAGCTATGGCCTGGAGCCAGCCTGGAGCCGAGTTACCGGAGCTGAGCGAGAGCAGAGCCGGAGCCAGCAAATCCAGAGCACTGCCAAACCTACTCTGGTGAATAATTACACTACAGTCATAATTTATTTTTCAAAAATCTAATTCCTACCAAGCCAGAAGGAAATTTAACATTTTGGCATGACGTGTTTGAAGATTTGTTGATTTCTCACATATGTCAATTTGTTTGTATGTTGAATTTCTTTCCCACGGTACGTAGCCAACCATAATATATTATCCATCGGTAAACTTTAACATAGCACTAAGTGTCGAGAGGTTTTTTTACGTTCAGTTCAAAGTATCCTGGAGAATCAATAGTACACGTGTATTCTACAAATTACCATAGAAACGTTCACGTGCGGGTCACGAGTCCACTCTTTCCCAACAACGCAACACGTTTCGCGTACTCGGCACGCGTGACAACATTGTCGCCGTGTGAGGGAACGCTGCACATCTCTTGAGACGGCCAACACCTTTTTTGTAATATACTTTTGTAGACGAGTAGTGGGGGACGTCATGTCACTCAGGGGGGTTGAGAATGGATGACGTCAGAGGTTACGGGGGATGTATAAGGGGGAACCCGTGACGTAGAGGTGGATCGTCGCGAAGGGCCAGGAACGGAGAGAGTTGGGGGAGTCGGGATCCAGGGTAGTGGGAATCGGCGCCAGGCGAGAGTGACTACGTCACCCGGCCGACCGAGTTGGATGATCCCTCGGTCGGTGCTGGGGGAAGATCACGTATAGCCTGGGTGGAGCTAGGGACCTCCCAGTACCCTTCCACTGGGGAGATATTATGGTTGTCACCTGTTAGGCGTAAGCCTTTAATAAGTTAATGGCAGTAGCCCTTAATAAACCTTGGCATCCACCCCTACTCAAGAACCGTGTCTGCGTCGTCAGTTGCACCTCAACACTATGATCAGCCAAGTCCCCATCAAGAGCCAACCTCCACCACAGTGAATCCCCCCCACCACCATGTCTAACATCAATGCATTTAACAAAGCCAAAGGCCATGCGATCGGCAGGAATGGAGTGTCCACAGGACGACTTAAGAATTGTGACGTGGCCTAGAATTGTTTGGGGGTGGCAGGTGAGAACGGGGATCGTTATCGACATGGACAATGTTGAATACTTGACGCCAAGGCCGTAATTTTAATATATATTGGGGGGAGGGGCACATCCCCTTCAATATTCAAATATGCTAAAAATGCCCCCCCCCCAATATATTTCTATAAATTATATTTCTGTTTCTATGATTGTGGTTATGGTTGTACTTTATTAATCCCTAATCTCTGCCATTACATACAATGAAACAAGAAAATATAAAAAAAGAAAGAACAGAGCAATGTAATACAATACACTATTAGACATTGTAAAAAAGTTATATTTAAGTCGATCCTATGTGTTAGTGAATTTTTTTTTATATTTTAGGCAGGAAATTCGTTTTTAAATTTAGATTTTTTTTCTTTCTGGGGGTGGACCCCCAGAACCTCTGGAAGATTTGGTCCTCCCCAATGTTGACTCCATGACTACGGCCTTGCTTGACGCTTGACATCTTAACGCATTACGTGGACACACAACTAAGTTGAACACGCAGTATGCTTTCGCGACCAATGTTATCCATAATAGAGATGTTTTGTTGGGTTACATTGCGTAAATATAAATGTTGTGTCGTTAAATCCACCACCACACGACACAGCCAATTAGTAAGATTTGTCACGTAAACAGAACGTGCCAATTCGTTACTCTCCAACACACCGGTGTGCTGAACCAGTAACGAATTGGCATGTTTTGTTAACGTGACAAACCTTGCAAATTGGCTGTGTCGGGTGGTGGCGGGTTTAACGACACATTTTATATTTACGTGATCTAACCCAAAAAGCCTGTGTGCACATAACTAGTGTTAAATATTTACAATGTTAACGCTTTAATTAGAAAACATTTTTTACGACGATTTATTATTACCGCTGACTACATTATTTGCAAACATTAACATACATTCTATAAAGTAATCATTCATGAATAAGGTGTGGGTGGGTGCCCTACCCGCAGATGTGCTTCGTTTCAATTATAATATATTTACTCGTTTTTAAGCATGTAAAGGTTGCTGTTGCTGTTTTTTTTTATTCACCTAAGACCCAGTGGATAAGTTTGAGTCATTAACTGTGATTGATCGGTCACGGCAAACAAATGAAGGAAGGATCTAATACAATGTCCCAGCCCGTGCCAAGATTCCACGGACTTTGTTCAAAGTCAAGATCTCCGCGCCAAAAAACCGTAATCGCTACCTCGGCTATGACCACTCTCCACTCCACTGCTGTGGAAAGTCTCTCTCTCTGTCTCTCTCTCTCTCCAAGCCGCCACGGCCTCGTGACACAATACGGCACGACCCCCGTCGGCGCTTCAGCCTCTACCGGCAATGGTTCTTCACCTTGGCTGCAGCCTTACATCCCTTTGGATCTCAATCGTAAAAAAAATGTATATATATACAATGTTAATAAACACATAGGGTTTGATGAAACAAAGTAAGTTGTGAATTTCGATTTAAAATTTTCGTGACTGCACGGATTCATCTTCTTGGTTCTTTCGGTAAAGTCACGTAGAAGGGAAATAATAAAAGAATCCAAATAAAACATAATGAAATGAATTTAAAATATTTGATTGTTTTATTTGTTTATTTTATTATTTCCCTTCTACGTGACTTTATCGAAAGAACCAAGAAGACGTAAGTTGAACTTAAGTGCCCGTGCTTAATTTGTGTTTAGATTATTTGACTTAAAAAATAAATCTGGCCATGCCTCGCTACCCTCCAGAAAGGGCATCTCGCACACCCAGGGGTGCAGCGTGCACCCCCAGGTTAAGAAGCAGAACCACTGCTCCAGGCCATTTACCTGTCACCGGCGTTTGCTCAGCCACCAGTCTCAACCATTGGCCAAGCTGTCTTTGCCAAGCACATGCTTATTTATTTATTGATTTTAAGAGTGAGGTCGATGTATGTTGAACTTCTTTCGTGTAGCCAACCGTGCTGATCGGGGAGGTGCGGGCGTAATGTCGACAAACTCAACGCACACACACGAAAACCTGCTGATGTTTATGCTTCGAGATGTCTACTACCTCGCCTGGTATGCAGGTGGTGGGTTCGATCCCGACCCTGACGCCTGCTGTATATTTGGAGTTTGCGTGTCTCTCTCCCCGTGGTCGCGTGGATTTTTCTCCGGGTCCTCCGCTTTTGCCCTCCACGTTTAGAAACATGCATTTCAAGCATTTGGCCGCTATACATGTGACCAGGTCGCTTCTGAAAACGAGCTACATAGCACCGTGGGCCATACCTGGTCAAATAAAAGCAACTTAGTTTAGTTTATAAAAAATATAATGAAGTACAACGTAGAGGTGTACGTTTCTCTCGACAGCGCTGACGATCGGCAGCAGCGTCCCTTGATTTGACTTCGTAGAGCTGATCGTGAGATGGCGCTGAGTGGGAGACGGCGGTCTTCGGAGGGGAAGGGTAAACTCACATCAGACCCGAGGAGAGGACACGGTGACGGAGAATAGCGACCTTGTACACATTCTCTGTGACTGCAGTGAACATTGTATCGTTCGATCGGCAATGGTGCTGGTGGTGGTGGTAAAACGGTGTGTGTGGGAAAGGGGGGGGGTTAAGGAGCAATGACCTTGGTTGTAAAGCAAACGCATCCAACATGTCACCACCACCTTTGCATCCAGCACCCCTTACCCCCAGCCCACCTCTCTTGGGGTGTCGGTTCGCTAATGTTTGACTGATGCTTTCGGGACCAGCGCTCTGGTTTCCCTCGTATGGGTGGAAATCAGCTGTTAGGATACAGGGCGCACACCTCACTGCATGTGAGGCGGCGGGGCGGGGGGGGGTATCATTGTGGCAGGGCAAGATTGGAATCGTTGAGCCACTCTAGGGAGACGATTGTGCCAAAATAAGATGTATGGGGGAGA